TCAGTGAAAGCAAGTGAAACTTCTCTTTAGTTATTGCATTAGTTATCAAAAGGAAATCACATAGAATAGCCTATGTGTGTGATTTGGTGAAAGAGAGTTCAGAGAAACAGTAGTTTTGGAGAACTGTTTTTCCCACTTTATCAGAGTCAAACCAATACATGCCTTAGGACAAACTTTTTAAAATCTATTTGGTGTTGAAAATATGTCTCTATCTAGGCTCAGTTGTTTAGTGTGTGTGGGATCATATAACATAATAATGATCCCATAGGCATCCGGGATTTGAGCAAAACTAAGGAAGTGGGATGTGAAGGGGCCACCTTTTATCAAATTTTTTCTGAGGGGAGGCCCACAGTCTCAGTCTTTGAAAATCCCTGGGTTAAGGTAAACAGCACCTTCATTGCTTTTAGTGGGATATTTTGAATACATTTGAACATGCTCTGGTTTCAGATTCAGAAGTAAAGAAGTATGCTTCCGCGTGTCAAACCTGGAAATAATGTTAGCTAAACATGACGTTTAAATGCAGTTCTTTTGCTGAGAGATACTGGTATACTGTAACAGGAAATTGTAGTGCACAGTAATATTAAAAGAATAGAACTGGACTTGGACTGTGTTTTTCTTCATTAGAAAATAAAGAGAAACATAAAAGCCCAGCTAAAAAGAAGCAAAAATCTACCTAGATGGGATAGATGGTGGTGTTACACTTCATAATGATACAATGTGGAATTAAATTGACAAGTTCTGGTAACATGCAGTACTGTACAGTCCCACAGAGTATTCTTGGTGATGACGAACTGATTTAATTAGCTTTCAGTTTATTGTGATCTGAGCTGTGCCTCCCTGGATCATTAGCTGCCTTAATATCCTCTGTGGAGAATACAGGATATTAAGGATAGGACAATGTTCCTACATTACACAAAAGACACAAACCAAAGATATTGTAGCTTTGATGGATAAAAAAACATTTTGTGAATATCAACTGCTACCAAGGCATAGAGTCAAGTTTTAGCTTCAGGAAGACTTCAGTCCTCCCCTTGCACTGCCTCTACACCTCACCTGAAATCTGTACTACAGTCCAAGAACACCATAAAGAAGAAAAGCTTACAGTTCTTCGAAGGTTGAAGATGTTGAAAATATTTTTTTCACACTCTGCACTCCTGGAATTTCCCATAAAGGTTCAGTGATGTTTTAATCTTGTGAGTTCAAATGCCATGGAAGCCACTTGAGTGTTTTGGTGTTTATAAAAACCCTCTTGAAGACAATTTGGCCTTTAGTTGAGTGGTGACTATTCGAGCTCTTTCAGACCTGGTGTCAGGCCCCCTGGCATTCAGCCTTATGTCTTCAGTTTAGTTATTTCACAGTTGAAGCCTTTTTATGTGATGTTTCCATTAGTTTGGTCTTTTTTCTGTAGAGGTGCTGTATATAAGAAAGGGTTTATTGAGAAATAAATCAGTTTGTGTTTTTACCATTTTACTTGTTTAAGATTTATTGTAGCTATATTCGCAGACAATTTTTGCCTGTCACTGGCAATAATTTTCATGGTGTCCATCCAATAGTTGGTGAGATTTTTCAGTCTGGACCAAACTGGTGGACTGACTTTGCCATTTGCCTAACTTCTATTATATACTTCCTGTGCTCTTCTTCGTCTTGATTGCTCTATTGGTTAACTCTTATTGCTTCCCCTAGAAATTGATCTCATTTATCCCATATGCATTGCCCATAGATATCTTACTTTACAAATGCTTGGATGTTGTTCCTCAAATGTAAGTCACTTTGGATTAAAGTGTCTGCCAAATGAGTAAATGTAATGTAAATGTAATATTGTATAAAATTTTTTTTAAAAAGCTCAGCACAATGCACATTTTTAAAAGAAGTACAGATGAGGCAGCTCATCTATATATCCTCTGTGCTTTTGAGGAAAATAAGAATTTGCCTTTCCTCACTGTCTGCCTGTGCAGCAGAGAGCAGCAGTGTCTCATCACTTCTTTGGAGCAGGAAGTTGTAATTCAGCCTTTGGAGTATGTAACTGTGTCACATGTAGTATTGCCAGTAAATGAACTCGGGCTGTGCTGTCAACACTAACTGGTGGTCCTGTTAAGAAAGGCTTTGTGACTTTGTCCCAGAGTATTGTGCTCATGCTGTGTTCTGCTGTCAGAAGCCATTCTTTCTCATTCGCTCTCCGTCTCCATCTCTTAGACTGAGTACATACGCAAAGAGGAAGTGTATCACAAATGCATGCAGACAAGCTTGCCCATGAATCAGAGAAGATTAGATTTGTTAAGCGCACACACACGCTCCCTCGACTTCACCCTGTGTAAACTTTCCACTGCTACACTCTGTGTCATTCCTGTTGTCATTCTAATTTCATCTGAGGAACCCTGCCAAGGCAATAATGAACTCAAGTCATGAGGCAGGGGCCACGCTGAGTGGTTGTTAGTCGTTTTGTGTGTGCACGCATGTGTGTTTGTGTGTGGGGGGGGGGAATGAGAGGGGAAGGTAAATGGAGGAAAAGACAATGTTAAAGAGTGGGGCTGGCCAAGTTTACACATGCTGTTTGTGTGTGTTTGTGTGTGCCGTGCATGAAATTGTACTGGTTTTAAATTAACCAGTGCAGTGGGGTGTATCATCTAAGCCGCTGTAATGTGTCGACTCCTTTATTCAATTTGAGCAGTAATCTTAGAACTCCCCACTGGCCTGCCTTCATCAGCCCCCTGCCACAAAGCTAGCTTAACTGAGCCAGAGACACACAGAGGCAGAGCCATGCTAAAGAGATGAGCCACTTTCCTGGATCAAGATTGTACTTAAACAAATGTAGCCAGGCTAAATCTCCTCATTATGTGGGTATTATGGTCAAGATGGATCTTGTTTGCAGAAGCAGTTTAAGATAGATGGCTCCAGTTGGCTTTTGGGAATTAGAAAGATGAAGATAGCCTACCAAAAGTTTATGCAATAATCCTTTAGTTGGTAGCAGTGAGGTTAAGGGATGATTGTCCCAGTGTTTGCCCTTTTCTCATTCAGCACCATGGACAGCAGCTTGCACCTAGCCAAACTGTTTTCCTTGGATACTTTACTGTCTAGACGTTTTGTGAGGTCAGTGACCTTAAAGAGACAAATACCTGTATGTGGTTTAAGGTAAAGCAGCAGGAGAGGAGCTTAAAACATCTTTTCAGTGTGATCATACTTATATTGTGAAATCTATTTTCTTCATAGTACCAATTCATAACAAGGCACCCTTAAAAAGATATTATAAAATGGTTAGTTAATAATTTACCCATACGTTACAGATCAGTTAGGCTATATATCATTAATAAGATAAACCTTTCAGTTGCCAGGTGGCAATCAGTAAACAATAATAATAATTTAAATGGTCATGAGTTTCTCGCTTTCTAAGCCACCTAGTGTGCATTTATATGTCTTAAAAAAGGGTATAATATCCTTAGTAATACATTAACAGGTCATTACTTTCATTAGCAAATGTTAGTCATCTGCGATTTTAAATGTTAATATTTTATTGATAAATTTAAATGCCCTGCGGCCTTTTTTTTTCAGACTTTCAACGGTCAAATATTTCATAGGATCAGTCATCCTATTTAACTACAGACCTCAAAAGACAAAATGTCATGCTGCAGGAATGTAAACATTAGGAAGATATTTTTCACAGCCTGGCAACCCAATCGTTTCTTGTAAACATGGCTGAAAACGGATATATAAAGCATCAGTAAACCATTTAGTAAAAATTAATAAAGTTATTAGTTACAATTTATAAACCCTTTGTAAAGAGTATTATATTTCAGTGCTTCTTTAAGTAGGCCTATATATTTACTCAAGAATTGAAGTTACTGCAGCTGTTGTGTAGTATAGTACTTGGTTTTGGTATTTAACCAAGGGCATCACTTTGTTTTGAAAAGTGGTGGGGACATTTAAGGCTCATATTAGGGGTGTGGCCAAACACTTCATCCACCAGATGTGATACTGCATAAAATTGGAGTGATGAGAGCAAGTCAAGATGATACTCCAATGCTATTTAGAAGAAATATTCATTGATGCAAAGGGCTACTCGATTGGGGGGCCTGGTTGTCCTACCCCAGAAGATTCTGAGCATTAAACTTAATTTACTGCATTCTACAGTAATTTTCTGCACCAATTTATGGTGGAAATGTCTTTATTTATATGAAGGGAAACAATATTCATGTGGCCAGTGACAAAAATATTATCGAATATAATGCAGTCTCAGCATCTTGTTTGTCAGCCTAAGTTACTTTTTTTTGGACAAGACAGATCTGTTTCTTCTACATTGCATTTTATTAATTCATTCATATTGTGCAAGTAAACCTTTCTCATAGAATTTTCATTTGTTATTTAGCATTTCTTGTTGCAAGCTAATTTTCAGAAAACTTTTAGCAAATGCAAGACAAAATCAGCCATTTCAAAAAGTCGTTGGGGACATGTCCCCAGCATAAATGACACCTATGTATTATACTCCAGGGAAGCTGCTCAGTGACCAGCTAATCAGTGGTTTGTTGTACTGGGCAGCTTTATAAATCTGTAGAGTTAAAAAACAATACATAGGCTAACTGGCTCTAACCAAAGAGTGTTTCTGTTAAGATATCTCAAAAAAACGCATTAAATGTGGTGGGCATGCCAGGCTGGGTTTAGAGATTTCTGCCGTCAGTCTTTAAGCTTTATGAAACTATCTGAGGCAGGTGGCTCGTTGCCAGTTCCAAAGAAGGTTTGCAGAGTCAAGAAATCCTTTCACTTCACAGAGAAATCAAGGACAGTGTAACCCTCTACCAGCACACTTCAAACTACAGAGTGCGTTATTCCAGTGCGTTAAATCAGTTTTACGCTTTTAACTCAGTAAGGTGACCAGTCGACCTCCCTGTCCACTAACACCACCACCACCCCCTCCAATCCCCCCGGTAAAGTCTTATCACGCGGTGTACCGCTGGCACTGTTGCGCCCCCTGCTCTTCCCACCCCGCCCCACCGGGACTGGCGGCAGCGGGTGCCAAACCGCCCCCCAGGAGCCCCGTTGAGGACGGCGCCATGCCGAGCGATGACACTCAACAGCCGGACCGCCGCCTCGTCTCATCCGTTTCCAGCGCTTTACAGAGGACGAGGATGCCATGAGATTTCCCACAGGCCCTCACTGGCACCTGGCCGCGAGTGAACCGCGGGGAAAGAGGGGAAAACCAACGGCGGATAATGACGTGATGGTTCCGATTGTAGAGCGAGCACACGGGGGCTCCGGGCGTCTTTAATGACCGGCGCTGGAGCGGATTTGACCGGACTTTATTGTGTGTGTGGAGCCAGGTGCGATACTGGATCGACCGCAGTTATAGTTAAAGAAAAGAAACGGTCTTTCAAACAGGTTGCTGAGATTTCCTCCCATCTGAAAGGTAAGGTAAGCGATCTGAGCTTTACAATCACCCGTGCGCCACTTAACGGCTCTGCGCAATTTATCTGCTTAATTGAGTTAAAATTAGGCTAATCAGTGATGTAACTGCTGCGAAATTGACCTCCAGCCGCCAATTCAGTTAAAACATTGACTAGGCTATGTGCATATCAGAAAAGTATAGCCTTATTTATCTCGGCAAGAGGTCGTATATACTATAGTTTAACATTACTTGCAGTGTATCCTGAATTGATAACGCAATCTGGACAGTTAGGTGAATAAATCGATTTAAGGTGGGTTTATCTTCTCGTGTTCCTGCTTATGGCAATTCAGTAGGCTATATAGTAGGTTGTTTGCATTGTACTGAGAAATAGAGTTTGTGGACATCAATGACCATAAAATCTATACTTTATCCTGCATGATTATGGCCACTTTTATACAGATTTAACGTAACATAATTCATTTTTTTCTTTTTTGTGCTGGGAAATTCATTTCATTCAGGCTACAAAAATATGTGGTGTACTAAATTACATTCATTAATTTTATATCAGCCTATGTAATAACCTATAAGCACTGACTGAAAGTGAATATGAGTCATTAACTTTATAAAGTGAATGAAGACAGAACCAATCTGACCCCCCCACCCCCCACCCCTTCAAACAATAAGGCTCATGTAGCCACTGCAGAGCTGACCACATCACTGCTGGGGCCCTAAGGCTCTCCTGACGGTTACAACTGATGTCGTCTTTTCTGTCTCTCTTTTTTTTTTTTTTTTTTTTGCTCTCCCAGGAGGCTTTGCAGCACAGTCAAGGATGCTACCCCCCAAATGGTGACTTCTGCAGGTAAGGTGAACATGCTTATTTGCATTATCGCTCTCTAGCCTACACACTCTGTTTGCCTGTTTGTTCAACAAGGAACCAACTATAAACCTTTTGCCGCAAGGTTGTTCATGTGGTGTCTGTGATCTCTCCTGTGCACCACAGGGATCTTGCTCTGGGCAAACTGTGTTACAAAAAAGTGTTCACCTGTGTTTCAGTTCTTACATCTTCAACTGTGCTCTCTACAGCTCATTTGGTTTCCCTTTTTTGGTATTATCTGCACAGAATGTAGCCCTTGCTCAGCCCACACATACAGATACTTACAAATTCAACCATAAATGATCAAAAATGAATGACACTAAGGTAATTATGACACCCCTCTAAGCAGAAAAGACCAGAGTGGGCGTATGCGTTGTCAGTCATATGGAAAAAAACAGATGACTGAGTTCCGTTTAGACTATATGAAAATGAAATCATCCACTTTTCATCAATCCTTTTTTCCTCACTCTTTGCTGTCTTTGTTCCCTCCTGCTCCAGCAGTGGTTGTCTCTGTCCTAGATGTGGCTGTGTTCCTCTCCTCACACGCTGAGATGAGTGCTTTCAGAGGCGGGCCAGGCAGTAAAGTCCCGGTTTTACTACCTGGCTAAATTGCCCTGTGATGGAAAAATATTGTTAAAGGAATGATACTTGAATAATTGAAGCCCCAGGGCTTTAAAATTGCAGGTACTCGCTGTGATTTCCAGTGCAAAGTTAGAGGCCACCTCAACGAAATATTCATATCATTATTTAAGAATGGATATATCAAGGAGCCACTAAGGTACTGCCACCCTCTCGCTCCATCTCTCTCCCTCACCCCTGTTTGTGAGGTCTCTGTTGCCCATCTATCTCCTATTGTAAATTTATTTCTCAGCTTCTCTATTTCTTCCTTTTTAAATGAATTAAAACTATATCTAATGTCTTCCTAAATGGGAGGTTAAAATAAAATACAGATGAGTTTAAGCTTTCTAAGTTATTTTTTAAATACTCTTTGAAGCCTCTCTCACTTGGTAATTTATGTTTTGTCTATTTATCTGCAATCAGATGGGATAATGAGACTTAAAAAAAATTAATGTGATTTGTGGTCTAAGCCAGAGTGATTTCCAGGAGACATTCTAAAGAATATATAGAATACAGTGGAAATACAAACAGGCTGCAGCAATTAGTCAATTAGTTGGTTGACATCAAATTAGTCGATTCATTGTTTGACTTGTTCATTCTCTTGAAAAATGAGGGTTTGCAGATTTTCTCTGTTTTATATCATCATTAATTAGCTTAACTCTGGTCGAACAAAACAAAACACTGACACTGCAGGCTCAGAAAACTCATGATGGGCATTTTTACAATTTTTTAGATGGAATGACAAGCAGGTAAGCATAACATAAAGACTGTAAACAGCTAGTCAGCTCTCTGCAAAAGTGAAAATCTGGGGGTTATGTGCCAAGTTTATTTCTTGGCCGGGCTCAGTGAGCCACTTCCTGCAGCCTCCGTTGATTGCAAGGCAACCTCAGAGTGATGACAAAACTCCAGGAGGTAAATGTTCCCGCAAAGAAATGGTCCAGCACTTAACTGACTGTAGGCAAATTTTGTTACCTTTGGACAGAGCATGGCTAGCTCTTACCCTGTGTCAAGTCTTTATCCAAAGCTAAGCTAACCAACTGCTGGCTACAGATTCATATTGAACGCATAGTTATGAGAGGGGTGTCAATCTTCTCATCTAACTCTCGTTGCCCACAATGTTGAACTATTCCTTTAACTTGTAGATAAAGTTTGGTTTTCCAATGACAGTTTTTGTTCAAAGCTTCTCTAATTTCCGTGGTTCACTCAGGCATCACATGGGAGCCAAAGCCCTTAATTTCAAAACACAAATCCTCGCCGCATCATCCCACGTGAAACTTCCCAGGGAAGAAGTGTTTTTACCTCTCCAACTTTGAGTTAGGGATATGTTCGGCGGTTATGTAAGTGTGTATGCTGAATGTGTGTGTGTATGAGCTGATTGTTCACTCACACACACTCATGTGTGTTTCCTTGCGTTCACATTTAGCTGACTGCCATGTTCGTTTCATTTCCCACAGAGAAAACGAATTAAAATATGACACCTCTCTCAGCTGCCTCTCATCTCCTGCTTTTCATCGACAAAACGGCTAAATATAGTTCTGCAAGCGGAGGGTGAAACCTCTCCACCTCTTTCAACAGTTCCAACCTTATGAAGGTCGAAATTACATGAGATTGTGGTAGCTTGAACAAAGATATAATCGTTTCACCAGCACCACCAACTGTTTTTGAGTATATCATGGGGGGGTGGGGGGGGGGGTAATATATCTGCGTGATATGCGTAAAATTGCAATATTAATAAGAATATTTTCTAATGTTGGTAAGTATCATTTTATAGCAAATACATTCAAAATCACAAAAAAACTGTCAAACTTATGTTCAGTCCGGTAAACTGTTAAGATGTGTTGAAAATTGTTAACACAAGTGACACAAAAACGTCTTGTGTGAGTTGCGAAGTAGCAGGAGCCACTGATATCAAACATATCGTTAATGTTCCTCACTTGAAACACAGGAGTTAAATACTACAGGTTTATGTTTTTGCCCCCAAGAAGTAACATTTCTTCCATCAGTTCAGCATGGGAATTAGTTCTAAATACTACGATATAGAGCAGCAACTCTAATGGATTAATGTGTAGATTATTTTCGCTCCAATTAATAGCCCAAGGTGACATTCAGATTGTTTGTTTTATCAGACTGACAGTACAAAGCTTAAAGGTATTCAGTTTGCTGTCATATATGACCAAACTGTTCTTACGTTCTCATGTATCCAACTTACTTTATGAAAGAACCACATATTCTCTAATGCAGGGGGTCATCTTGTATACTGATGATTTGAACCGTGCAGGGGTGAGCGTGTGGGTACTCATGTCCATACAACCCTTGGAAGTGCTCCAACAGCCACGCACATGCAGACACACACACACACACACACACACACAACAAACCACTTAGCATTGCTTTTGTGCTTCAGTCAAAATCCTTGCAAATCACCATTTGGCAGCCACACGCTGTCTAACCTGAGTCTACTGGCCACCTGGGAGTCGTACACTTAATTACACAAAGGAGGTTTTGTGTTGTGGATATCAGAAGCATGTTGCCTCTTCTTAAGCTCTCTCATCGCCCTTTCTTTGCCTTCACTTGTCCAAGTCAGCAACTGACAGGATTTATGGCAGATCCTCTTACTCCTCACAGGGCACATGGTTGTTTTGTGATCAAGGGGTTGTTATATGTGTGCGTTTGCTCAGATTTGTCTGCATGTTTGCGCGTGTTCAATCAGACAGCGCTGAACCCAGTGAGATTCATATATGAACCTCGCTGGTTAAGACACTCCGACAACGGCAGAGTTGAGTCTCCCAACGTCTGTCACTTGGCGTCTTTGTCTCTCCAGTCTGTTGGAAACTCTCCAATCTGAGGCATTACCTCGGCGCTCCCTTTCTAGCATAATTTGGTTGCATGTTAGTCAAAACCAGTTATTTTTGGTTCTAGAAAGATTCCATTGCTTGTCTGTGTTGATATACATCAGAGACGGGCAGAACTTCTGCATAAATGTGTCATAGTAGCTTCTGCAGTGGAGCACAGGTCTTGAAAGGACAATGTGGAGATAGACCAGGAGAAGAATGATGTAAAAGTGTGGTGAAAGAGGAGAATATGGCAAAAGAAGGAATGACGAGACATAACATACTGAGCAAGAGAGGGAAGAGATGGATAAATGGGGAGCAAGGGAGACTTCACATCGCTTTTAACGACATTATCGTGGCCCGTGGTGTATATAATTTAGTACGATGACGCAATGGAAGATACCGCACCGAGTGAGCTGTCTGGGTGGGAGGCTCACATGCTCCTTTCAACACACACACTGACACACACACACACACACACACTTCTCTCTGTAATGGTGTTACATTTGTCAGATATTCATATGCTTTCAATGTTAGGATTTATGTTCATTACCCTTTCTTATCACATCTTTTGGGGGACACACCCCACTCACCTTTTGTTTCCATTAGGGACAGAAAAAAAAAAAACATGGGAAAGAAACCTCTGGCAGGGATTTGACTGTGGGAAAGCATGTGGCTCTACAGTCAGGGAGCAGACCAAACCACCCAACCGTAAACTACCATTTATTTTAACCTTATGGCTGAGGATTGCCAGTTATGACGACACAACAAGTGCCAGAACGTTTAAAAATTTCATTAGGCAATAAGACTAAAATTAACTGCAAATTGACAGCCCTGGGAGGCTCATAGCTTTTAGAAATTTACATTAATATGCGAGTAATGAGAATTTTCTTCATCAATTTAATTGGGATAATTAAATGTTGTTCATTCACTGAGAAATATCTGGATGTTGTAGTTAATTGACTCGAACAGTAGAGAAACAAAGTCATCTGGTGTTGTAATTACTAAAATGGCAGTGCTTAAAATGAATTTATAACGTTAATGTTTAGATTGTGTGTTTGGTATGTTAAAGTGACTGCCAGGAAAAGGAAATCAAGGCATCCGCACACACATTCTATCTCTCTTGCTAATTTATAGCTTTCTGTCAGATAGACCTGTTTATAAGGCCTATTTGAGGCTAGGCTGTACATTTGCTGTGTGCAGTGGAGATAATTATGTGTGTGGATTCTTGATTTCTTTTCATTAACACCATTCTCGCTCCCGTGTGACTCTGCCAATCAGAGATATTTGTTTAAGATTATTTGCCTGCAAACACTCGACCATAATTTGGCAGTGAGTGTGCGTGTAACTAAATATTTCCTTGACTTTACCCTGGCAGAGGATCTAAAATATGTCTCCCAGATATTGTATGTGTCTTATACAGTATGTTCTCAACATTTTATATCAAAACATTAAATTGCATGTATGTTTCGAATTGTGTTGTCAGTATGTCTTTACTGTATGGTTTAAAGTGCTGTATCAGTACCTATCATCTATATATTATTGACATGATGATTAATATCCTTGCAACTTTGAAACGTACTCAATCACAGTGAACCACAAATGACAGGAGATGCACGTGCAAATCAGATTTAGTATGCTGAAAGTGCACTGCACATGTGCATACAACGTACTGGCCGTCTGAGAGTGCACGCACAGTAGATGTTGCTGCATTCAGCATGCTAATCCATCTACATCCTGAGTGTCTGTTTGCCATCCAAAGTGGTCCTGTTGGAATTCACTCACACTTTGCAGATGCTGCTTTTCAGATTCCAGTAGTGAGTCTAATTTATGTCCATATTTACATTAATACACCAGTTATGAGAATCTTTTCATCAATGTAGTTTGGATAATTAAATAAATAATATATAATATAATATATTGAGTACTGTTGATTGAAGCAGTTTGAAGTGAATCACTTAAGGCACTGCTAACTTGTGTCAATCACCATTCTTTCCTTTTTTTTTTTTACAGATAAATCCGTAATAAAAATAATCAGTAGCTGCATTTTTTTTCATTTTCTCTTGACAGAAGAAGTTGCTTTTCTCAAGGGAGTTCCAGTGAGAGGAGGATTTGAGACTCCAGAGGCCTCCTTCATCTTTGTATCTCCCGCTGTCTTCTAATGTACGTGGCCATCTCCTCTATCAGCGCTCAGACGTTACTGCTTCATCAAGGGGTGAAATAATTTTTCCTCTGAGCTAATAACAACTGAAAACCATCCATCTGTATCTGTGAGACCTGAAACATCCCCGGCTGTCTGATAACAGCGGCATAATAACCAGCTAATTACAACATGTTTCATCAGTTGAGGTTACATCATGATGCTACATGAATACACTAATTCAGCTTACATTGGTTATTTTTGCAGGGATTACAGAAACCTTTGTTGGACGTAAGTAAGCGAGACTATTTTGAAGAAAGTTTTGGTTTAATCTAGAACTGCCCCAAATCCACATGTCTAAAAAAGCCCATTCTCTTTTTTTCCTCCATCTTCTTCTCTCCCTCTCCCTCTGAAGGGTTTGATGGAGATCTGGTCGAATGTCAGCGGGAACTATTGTTATATCCGGAGGAATTCTCGCCGGAGTGATACTGCTGTGCATTGTAGCAGTGCTCTGTTACTGTAGACTCCAGGTATCACTGTGTACTTCAGTGTTTGTATTTAAATCAAAAACTATTTTAATGAAGCTTTATCTAGATGACCCATAAAAGGGTGAGCTTCCTCCTTCCAAGATACGTGGAGAAGGGAAATATTATTAAATTAAATAAATGTGTTTCCCCTGGGAAAACATGGACGTGCAAGTAAGTGAGATCAATATAAGATTCCTGAACAGTTACAGAAAGCAATCTGGAATCTGTCTGTCGGTTGTCCATTGTAATTCCATAATGTTAGTAATTGTTCATCCAATCAACTTGAAACATGGCGGGTGTGCGCGAGTGTCGCGTTTGGTGCAATTTGAACACGCAACACGTTCAGAATTAATAAATATACTAGAGAACAGCATGGGGGGGGAAGCTGCTGCAGCGACAGCGGGCTACGCTCACGTGGGCGGGGCTTATGCTGCTCATCTTTACAACAGCGAGAACAGGGTACGCCCACGGGGAGTTATAAGAGTTTTATGAAGTTCTAGGGAAATGCTGAATATCTAGCAGTATCTCTAATTTAAAAAGTGAATAAGTGAGCTTTGGAGCCATTGGTAGGTATTTCTTTAACTTTGTAAAGAACCAGGCTAGCTGTTTCTCCCTGCTTCCAGTCTGTATGCTAAGCTAGGCTAATTCACCTCCTTGCTCTAGATCTGTATTTAACACATAGACATGAGAGTGGCCCACAGACATCTACAATCATGAAAGTGGAGGTCGGAAACTTGGTGGCTCGTTGCTGCAGGCAGGATGAGAAGCAAGAATGACGATAAATCCACTTTTTAATCCCAAAAGTTAACTCAGTAAACGGCTGCGGGTCAGATCAGAATCCAGTGCTGCCCGGGTGTTCGCAAAATTTGCATCTGTTCATGTCTTTGCATTAACTTAGTAAGAAATCCCCCCATGCGAAAAATTCGCTATGCTTTCGGGTTGAACACAAGAAGGCAAATAAGCTTAATTCTCTACATTTCAAAGTATTCCTTCATAGTCTTTGATGTTCACAATAAAGTATGTTTTACAATATAGTAACAACTGAACTCCCAACACCTCTTTCTCAATCTCTCTCTCCTCTGCTCTGTCCTTGTCTGCTCTGTAGTATTACTGCTGTAAGAAGAATGATTCTGAGGTGGATATGGGCTCCGTGGTGGGAGCAGACCCTCTCTCCCACTTTCCCTGCAATGCCTGTAATGCCCTCGCCATGGACGGCGCAACTATCGCCCCCGTCTCTCTGGATCAGCTGGACTCGGGTTCTCACCACAACCATTGCCCCACCTGCTCACCGTACACCCTCCGCTCTGGACTCACAGACAACATGCGAAACGGAGGGGAGCGGCTGGGCTTCCACACCTACTATGAGAACCCGTCTGTCTCTCTCCCACTGTCTGCCAACCAGCAGAGCTCCTCCCCTCTGAGTTACTACAGTCCCACAGACATGTTTCCTCCCCCGCCACGCCCCTACAGCACACAGGTCTGACCTCTGCTGTACCATAAAGACACATACTCACACATATAGAAAACCATTGTGACATACACATGCCCTTTCGTTTGGGACTAAATTCAGGTGATGGATTGCGATACAGCACAATTACACACATGCCCACATTACTGTACATTCTCAAAGATTCTAGACGGGGAGTGACCCATAAATTGAGCAAACTGACAGAGTGTGGGCAACCAGTTGTTGGACCAAACCCATGGGGAGCTGCAGGCGGCAGCAAAAAACAGTGTTTTACCAGCAGGGAAATGGTACAGAACTGAAATACAACCTCAGTTTGTTTCACTTTGGTAATTGGATCTCAGGTGTGATCCAATCTAAATTTAGATGTGAACACAACTGGATTGATACAGTCATTGAAACCACATTTAAAGGTGGCCAGGGACACGTGGCTACTATAGTGTGAACACAAAAGGGTCCTCAGACTGCCATGCCAGTTTTGTTGTGTAGGTGCTAGGGATGCAAATTTTAAGCAATTCCCATTAGCCATGTTTATGATCAACTACTCACCTTATGAAATAAGACAAAATGCATAGTTGTTTTTTTCCATGAAAGCTCATTTTTAGCTATTGATTTGCACTGTTTGTGCACCACAATGATAATATATTAATAAATATTTGAATAATAATTGTTTGAGTCATGAATTAAATAAAACAAAATAACTTTATGAATAATTTCCTAGGAGATTTTCTGGATGTCATTTAGTACTAATGATAGGAAAAATAGGAATGTCCAAGAAAAACTTGCCTGTTTACCATTTTTTGCACATTCAGCTGATCTGCTAGCACTGCTAAAAAAAAATTTAAAAAATTGTTACGCTAGCAATTAATTAGGATTATTTAATTAGAAGTGTAATTGAACACAGTATCTATTTTTGCTATAATGACCACCAAATTACATAGATCTTTTAGGAAATATAGTGGGAAATTATTTGTAATTTACGGACCCACAAAATAAAGCATTAACAAATGTTCTGCGCCTGTTTCTCCTGATGTTCTTCACCAATAAGAAAAACGAAATTATAAAGTTAGACAATTATTTTACATTAGATTAGACATGCAAGGCACCTAAAAGCAAAGTTCAGCCCACTGTCAAAAGGCTACGAATGCCTATATCAAGTAGAAAAATACAATACCATGACATCTTAATCACTGACTAATTATTAGTGGCTCTGGTTGCTTAGACAAGATAAGTCTGTACCCATGTGGGAATATTCACAGAAATGCTCTTTAGAAATGACTAGAGACATATCTGGGGGTTTTTTTGTTCAGCACCAACTAAATAAAATGAGAGCTGGGACGCGACATCTGGAGAAGTATTTAGAGATTCTGGAGAATATATCCTGTTACATGATACAGAGTCTGAAAAGGACCAACACCTCTTTAGTTTCTGTAATCCCCCCCCCCCTTTCACTGTGCTGCTTTTTAAAAAAAACAGTTTTAAATGCTAGCCTGAGAAAAACCCCTCCCACCGCCATCCGATCCAGCTTAATGTACATGAGGGCTAACACTTTTTTAATTAGGTGGTGTTGTTTGCCAACTACAGAAACTACTAATGGAGCTTAATTGTTTTTGTCCAGAGTAAAGACATGAGTCAGAGATGAGAGTTTTTAAGCATTTTTCGTGCATCTTGCAATTATTTGAAGGAGTGTAGTTTTATTATGCTAGAGAGAAAAAGGCTACTAGAAAAGTATGAATTTTGTTTGCTAGTGTTTTCACTTCTGGTTAATTGTAATGAAACTACATTACTAAAAGAGGGGTTGGTTCTACAGTGTCTTCCATATAAGTTGATGTATTGAACTTTTTCATGTTTACAGATTGAGATGGATGAAAAGAAAGAATGCATCCTCAGATTTTTAGAGATGTTGGAGGCAGGAACGAGATACTTAGGCTCATGTACCATACGTTGTTGATCTTGAAGTTTTGTATCTTACAAGCCATTATATCTGCTATACAGTACAGTAACAAGATGCAGTGTTATTCCACAGTATACGCCTGAATCTATATATTTTTAAGGAGTGTTGTACTTTTTGTGAGGGATGTCAGGGTTTAAGTGTGTTTTACTGAGTTTGTACCAAATGTGAGTTTCATATGCTCTTCAATTATCCTTCCATCTTGATTTTTCTCTGTATGTCTGCTGGTTATAAAACAACAGGGGGACACAATGGGAAGAGAATGGAAATGTACATTTGTTACAGGAAATTCACTTTAAAATTGTACTTAAATTTAGCAAAAATGTGATTAAATGGTATAAAAAAAAGATAGTTATTATAAATACAGATTATTAGTTAAAGATATTTATTCAGTATATTCTTGCACCACATTGTTTCCACTGAGCTGTGTGCTTCTTCATCACATCTCCTAACTTTCCTCACCTCACATCCCCTTGTTGTTGAGAAGTATGTGTTAAATTATATCTGTAAAAGAACATTTTTTTCATAATTTAGATGTTCATTCAGCCTTGGTGTTCACTGCCATATAGCCAATATACTCACTCAACAAATGTCGTCCCCGTAGTTTGGTGAAAGGGGTTTAGTTATTGTGAGAAAAATCCACCAAGTTTCACAAAATGTTCCTTTTTTTTGAGGAGGAATAAATGTTTATATCTGCCTGGAGTTTTTATTTTCTGTCTTCGATTTTCGATTGCAGATTACTCAGACAGTAGATGCACAGGATGTTGTAATCACTAAAATTTCTGGTAAAAAAAAAAAAAAGTACAACAGGAAGTGTTGAAAAACCACACAAATAAAAACTTGACTGAAATCAAAGAAGTGAAGAAGTAAAAAGTCGCTACATGTTGAAACTCAAAGGAAGGGAAGTGAAACTGGGAAAGAAATGACACTCATCTGTCATCAGGAGAAAGAAGGCAAAATAATGAAATGACAGATTTCAGGAAATTAAAAGAAACTGCACCCGTGATGTGAAAGTAATACTGAGAATATGACAAAAATAAGTGTCATTTATGGGCGGAGGCGCTGAATCCTCTTTGTTATTCTGCATGCATGTTTTGGTATTCTATCGCTTTACCTGCTGGACCTGTTTGCTCTCCTATAAGGCAGCTCAGCCCATGACAATAATAGACAGATGGGCCTGTGTCACGTTAACACTGTGGGGTGAAATATCACAAAACACCACATCATTTACTCCTTCTTAATACATCAGCAGTGTTTGCTTGGCAGTCTGGCAGGTTCACACAGCATCTGTGCCAGCTTGCGTAAAAGTGTGAACAAAAGGATTAGAAGAAAATGAATGAAAATTTAAGTGCATGATAATAAAAAAAACATTTTGGAAACTCAATATCAGCCAATAAATCAAAATCAAGCAGTTGACTTGATTTATTTGAGAGGTAGGCTCATGAACAGGTGTGTGTGTGTGTGTGTGTGTGTGTGTGTGTGTGTGTGTGTGTGAGAGAGAGAGAGGGAGAGAGAGAAGACAGGTGAGCACTGTAGTGGGTGTGTCTTAGGCTGCCATCCTTTCACACACATTCTCAGGTCTTATATAACCCAGTTAAACCTGTAAATGCCCATTCACCTATAACACTCATGCCTTCTCCCAACACTGTGTGTAAGTGGCTCTGACTTCTACTCATTAGGTGTTAGTGTGTTGAAGTGTATCTATGCTTTACCTGTTGGAGTATCTCTCTCTGTTATTCACCTTTGGACTATAAGCAGAGTTTCCTTGTGTATAGACGACTTGGACTTTGTCCTGGTATTTCCTGTTCATGCTCATGTGCGAGACTGACTTTTCGCCTGTATCATTGCAAGGAAAAACAAGATGACTGCATCTTTCTGATGTCACTTTACGTCTCTGATTCTCTCATGAGATGCTCTTGTCCAACGCTCCTGGTGGATTTTCTTTGATTTCTCTGACCTGAAATCGGAAGATTCACCTGCAAAGGCGTTGTTTGTTTTTTGGCGTTTGCGTGAGCGTTGGCAGCTGCCCAGGCTGCGTATTTGGGCAAGATGATGGAGGAGATGTCCATGACAATGGCTTGTCATGCCCATATTATGGACCAGATGAGTGAAGAGGAGATCCTGGCCTGTCTGGCAGATGAAATAGGACCACAAGTCACAGTAAGGCTCACTGTTGCATGGATGCATTCACTTACATAAGATTCCACATACTATACAGTCACTTTTAGAACACCACAAATAATATCGACAGCTAAACCACAATGACAAACCAACCATTAATTAGACCCAAAACTATTGTGTGATTCTAGTAAGTTGTTGGTAAGGGGATGCTGTCACTTTGGCATTAATGCATAGGCATTAATGCAGAGACAAAATGACGCAATTCTAAAGTTTCTATGAGAGTTAGACTGATCCAGAAAAAAATTGCAGCTGCAAGAGTATAATACAAAAGACATTCCCATGCATGACAGATATGTGATTCCAGATAGAGGGAAATGAATTGTGATTTCTCATTTTAGATATTTGAGATTTGGAAATTGTCATTTCAGGCTTTAAAAGCTCCACTATTATTGCCTTGTGCATAGCACATTATCATTCCCCCATGTGCTCAGCCCCATCTTATCTCACTCTTATCCCTATCTGCATCTGTTTTGGGGGCCTGTTCTTGATTTGTCGCGCTCACACACCATCCGGCACCCAGATCTGTTTGGAGGAGATTGCTTTCTTCAGCTCCGTCAAATATGACATTACTGTGTCTTATTAGCCTTGACTCTCTCTCCCCTTCAGGTCCCAGTGAAGAAAGCCAAACATAGGGAAAGCCGGCTTCAAATAATGGATGATGAAGAAGACCCCTTGGACAAATACCTGGTCAGAAAGCTTTCACTCACCTCCAGAAACATACATATTGAAGTCACTCCACTGATAAGCAAGTCCACTTTCTGTCTTTGAGCCTCACCTTTATCCCAGCTCAATTGTATCTTTGACACGCAGCTACACTTTCTTTTTCTCTCTCTCTCTCTTTTTAAAATGGCCCTCGTTTGTACTCTCCTGTGTGCTACAGACCCTGATAGATTTTTCCGTGTTTTTGCAGATGGAGAACCGTCGGCTTCAGCAGGCCAGCCTCCGTCTGGAGCAGGAGAACGACAACCTTGCCCACAGACTGATCACCAGCAAGGTCGCCCTAAGGAATGCTCTGGACAAGGTATGATTAGCCACTGCCCTTCACAAAAAAGGCGAAAGGGGTTTAATTTAAAAATGCAAACTCACCAGTCGAAGGTCTAAGAAACTCTCAAATCTTCCGGACCCTCTCAGGAGATGACCAAACTGTAACCTTCACAAAACGTTTTACATTTCCAGAATTAGAATCCAGCAGCTCGGTCTGCAGGTATGCATGGGCTCAAAACATCAACTAGTCTTTGTGATTTCTTTAAAAAAGAAACTTAATGGGATAACTTGACCAAACTCTGAGAGACAAATAAACATTTCATTTTCATGTGTTTAAGTCTTCTAACCTTGCTACAAAAGCCTGGACAAAAAGGCAAGATGGACTCTTTAAGTAGTTTTCATTTTGGAGTTCTCCAGGATTATACAGTACAGTAATTTATGAATTTGTACACATGAAGGCCTGAAAATCTGATTGCAATTTATCTGAACCGGTTTTCTTTGACTCTTTGCTTTATTGTTTAAAAATGTACACAAAGCATTCACAAGGCCATGCTGGCCATAGTTGCACATGTGACACAAAAATGACAACTTCATTCATTCATGTATTCGTTCGTGTAAAATGAAACGTTCACTTCAGGCAGAGGACAGAGTGGACCAACTCACAAAAGACCTTCTACAAACCAGACATCAACTGCAGGCCTCAGAAGAGGAGAAGAGAGGGAAAGAGGAGGAAGCTGCAATGGTAAGATTTGTTATATTTATTGTATCTATGATGACTTTCAACACTTCACAGTCATTATAGATTTAACGTAATGGCCCACATGCACGAGTAAAGGATTTGTTCTCTACTTATAGCTGAAGGAGGTGTTTCGGAGAGAGCTGGAGAAGGCTGAGCAGGGAGGTAGAAGGTCGTTGGGTATCATTGCAGACTACAAACAGGTGCAGAAGAATGAGATTAGGACTTACTGTACACCTTGAAAATGATAAATTAAAGAATTATATTAATAAAGAATTCAGTGATGGTTAATGATGTTGATGCTCTGTCTTCTGCTCAGATCTGCTCTCAGCTGACAAACCGTCTAGAAAGGCAGCAGTCCGCCCACAGAGAACAGTTAGATTCACTCAAGGTGAGATAGCTCTCTTTCTGTGGAGCTCTAACTGTCATCCTTCCTACTTTTATCTCTCCTTGTACTGCTGTCTTGCTTTGACTTGAACACCATGTTGTAGGAATTCATTTTACAACCCATTTTTAAAAATCTGTTCACCCATTTAAAAAGTTCTTAACGCCTCAGTTGCTTCACATTGTTATTGAGGTTCATATACCGGCAGGTGTGAGTGGTTTTTAAATGCTGGATGTCATATTTAAGGCAGAAAAGTCTTCATCATGTCTCATTTCCACCTCTGCAGAGCACAGTGAAGGCTTGCTCGCGCTGTCGACACGTTGCAGAATCAGGCGAACCATCCGGCACAGACCAGGACTCAGCAACAAGAGAGGCCCATGGGATGACTGAACCAGGCCGAGATGAGGACAACAAAGGTCCCGCAAAAGCAGAGCAGAGGAGAGACGACCAGGAGAAGGAGTCCCTCAAGGCCCAGGTCAGGGAGCTGGAACAGGAGTTGGCCCAGACCAAACTACAGATGGTGGAGGCCAATTGCAAGATCCAAGTGAGACCAGACCCATTAAATCATCACACAGCACGTGGAAATATTGGGACATAAAGTACACAAACACATTTTGGAAATCTAAGCATAAATTATCCATATGCATGTTTAAATTACAGCTGATCATGCATTGTCACTTTAATATCTACAAGAATGCAAATGAAACTTCAAACACACGCAGAGAGCAAGAGGTCTGTACTTGTGGGTACTTTCCTGGGAATATATTCATTGCCTGGCCCCTAACTTAAGAAACTACTTGCCCAACTGTAATTCAATAAGGAGAGATCAACTCCAACTGTATAACAATGTTCACTGAGGTCAGCAACAGAGAAAGACTTTGGCTATTAGACCCCATTGATGTGAAGCATTCTCGTTAAATGTTGGTCCATGTAAAGATAGGAAATAGGACAGCATTTCCCTGTGGTGAAAGAACAGCATCCAAGGACTGACTGGCTTAAAGTGCATTATTACTTTTGGTTTGGATTAGTTTAAGTGCTAGAAAGATATATTAAAACTGTCTCACTGCTTTAAAACGTATTATTCTTGTAGAAATACAAGAAGAATATATAATACACTTTATTTAGAAAGCACTAAAACAAAATACAAAGTGCTTGACAGACAAAAATATGAAATGAAATACCAGAGTGAATGATCACATATAATAAGAAATAAAATAAAAATAAGGAATAATAACAAGAAATTACCGATAAAACAAATAGGCAGCCCAGATAAACGGAGGGAAGTTTTTCTGATTAAAGTGCATTTTAGAAGAGAATTAAAAGAAGACACTGACTCTGACAGCCTAATTTCCTCGAGCAGTTTGTTCTAGAAGCTCAGGCCCTGATGCAAAAGCTCTGTACCCTTTAGTTTTCAGCCTGGACTCAGGAAGAGACAGAAGAACCCTGCACAAAGATCTCAAACTATGCAAAGGTTCATAAGGGATTAATAGATCTCAAATGTAATCTGGAGCCAGGTCACGGATAGCCTAGTTCATTTTGAAGTTAGCCTATTCTACAAGTACAATAGTATAGGCCTGTTATAAGTACATATATTTAAAAGTATGCTTTGATCGTTTTACTTGTAAGTACAATGAAGTGGATTATTTTAATACTGTTAATAATTGTACTTATTTTAGAGAAAATCAAAACACAAAGTGTGGTTGTGTACGGACTGAAATGAACTTGTTCTTAAGTGAGGTTCACATTTCTGGCATACACCTGTGTTGTCCTCATATAGGAGCTGGAGCACCAGAGAGGCATCCTGGCCAGCAATCTCCAGGACGCAAAGAACAGCTGGATCAGCAAGGCCTTCACCTCCCTGCGGACTTCCAGTGGAGGGGGACTTCTCAGAATCAGCATACCCAGAGATGGAGCTCCTGCGGCCGGCTGGAACCTCCACCGTGGTTCCCTCTCTGGGTGGAGCGCCAAGAAGCTCTCGCGGCCTCACAGGGACAACCCAGAGAATGTCTGACAGCTTGAGAACTAGACACAGCGGAAGCATCAGACATGGATTGGAGTATAATAGTAATATATATTTAATGCTGTAGCTTTTGTGCACTAGGGGGGAGTCTAGAGCACTGTCATGTCCTCTCTTGTGTGTTCTCATAAAAGTTCGTTTCTTATTTGAAAACCAAAATCCATGTACCAAGTGAATGGTTTTTTGTACGTAATTATTTTATTTGTAAACAATATTAAATAAAATATTAAACGCATCTATGACTACTATATTTTTTGTTGTGTGTGACATAAGGAAAGTTGACGCATTAACACGGACGTAACGGTTCTTTCTGAGCGAGGTTTCCTGTGATCTCCCTGTTCCTCTTTCATTATGACCACAGCCGCTTTTAAAGTTGCGCTCAGCTGTTGCTCAAACACAGAGAGAAGAGCCGCCAGCAGACTGTAACGCAGTTTATCTCTGAACTTTGACTCGCAGAGCAACATAAAGCACTGCAGAAAGAAACAAGAGAGCAAAGAACAATAGATTAGAGTAATATCTCGTAAGTGAGGGCTGACTACTACCTGAAGCACTGATGGCTGCAAAGGCTGGCAGCGCGTGTGTTGCCATGACCCTCCTCATCATGTGTGTTCTTGGAGGCCAAGCGCTGGACCTGCTGAGGGCAACTGCAACTTCAGGGTGTGAGTACCAATCTCTGAGTGGAAATACGCTCGCAGTTTAAAGTTTGTGGTGCTGAAGGTGTGCGTGTGCATTCGGCCTGGATGACATTTCATCAAGAAACCAAAAGCAGACGCACACAAATATTATTTTATAGTCATTTTACTCTGTTTCTGCTACATGTTTAAGGCTTCTCACGTCACGTCCTGCCATCGTGTTTATCTTCCTGCAACTGGAAAGGAGTTTTTGTGCTCTATTAGTGAATAATAATAATTTTATTGAAAAGTAATAGGCTACATTATCAAAAACTGTGATTTGTCATGCTGCCATTGCACACTGAAAATCACAAGACAAAAAGTTAAATGTATATCTCCCTTTTCGTAGACCATGAAAGAGCACTGTATTTTATGCTCTGCTCATGTTGTGTGTGATTTCTTCCCTGGTCAGATCCTCCCCCCACTCCCACAGTGCATTGCTGGTGTATGAGCTATCCAAACATGACTCTTTGCTCCTGGCCTGAACCTTCTCGCTCCCCACCAACACATTACATTGCCACCTACAGGTAAATCTGAGAGAGGCGTGAGCTGACCCGAACCACTGACACCTTTTAGTAAAGCAAAAGACTCCAGTTTTTTCAAGTGTCATTCAGGAGCTCATTTATATGTATTTGTGTGTTTGTCAGCGAGAGACACGGACAGCAGGTCACCAAGAAGTGCCATCTCATCCAACCTGGCTCTTCATCCTCTACTCTGATATCATCTTCAACTGAACGGGTACCAGCTTTATTTACCTTTGCAGCTGTACAGTGCTGAGCTGGATCTCCAGCTAAGGGGAGAATTTCCAACACTCACGCAATCTGATTTTGGCCAAAATTAAACCAAGCACACATCCATCTTGACTGAAGTGATAATATAATAAACATGTTAGGGTTTTATCATCTACTGTTAAATCGATTTCCAAACATGGTCACAGTGGATTGGCTAAGTGTTGGAAAACCCCGTGTCAAATTTCTTGTTATTGCTGTGACAGACCACAGACCAGTTTCAAGTTTGTCTTGTGAGTCTGACGTAAACAGCATGTCAGTAAGAGTGATAAGTAGCATTGTGCTTGGTAATACATTGTTCATTGTAGTGGGTATTCACCTCAGCATCCATCCTCTCCCGCACATTTTTATCATATGTTTTTAATGCTTTTTTTTAGCTGTGGCACTGCCAGCTGCCCAACCTGAAACTTCTCACCGACTACATAATCAATGTCACCGCTGTTTATTCTGTTGGAAGCAGCTCTCATCTATCAAGTTTCATGTTGGAGGATATTGGTGAGAAATGTTAAATAATCCATTCTTAAAATATGGAGAGAGCGATGTATGACGCAATTGAAATTCAGTATTGATTGACAATTTAGTTTGATATGGTAATGTAGACACCTTTGTTATTATTTAAAACTCATTTCTTTGTGTGTCTTTCTTTCTCTAGTGAAACCAGATCCTCCCCTAGACGTCCGGGTATCCCCTCATAATGTCAGAAACTTGTTGGTGGAATGGTCTCCTCCCCCTACTTGGGCTAACCTGGACATCCTCCCCCTAAAATACCAGATACTGTACCAGTGGCAAAACAGGGGCACCCCAAAGTCTGTCAATGTAAGAACAATCTTCATCAAAACAAAAGTGCAGCAACAACAGCAATGTGATTTTTTAAACTCTACATTTTACACATACAGTACACAGATACCACATGTGGAAGTTCAAAATCACCTAAACGTTTCAGACAACCATGAAAATGTTTCAGAAAGTCCCTTCATCTGTGGACATCCTTCTCTTTTCAATGAAACTAAGTTTTTATTTTTTTTATTTGTATTTAATACATTTTTATGTTTTACAGTTGTTTATTTGACTCTATCTAATTTTACTTTATTTAAAATGTAATCATCTGGCAGCAGCTTTTCTGTTTGGTGTTACATATGTATGTATATATAAAACATAAAAATGTGTATACACACACACACACACACACACACACACAATAATTAATCTTGTATTTTTAGAATTGTAAAATTATCATTTAAAATGACACATGTTGATTGGAAAGTCATTTTGTTGTATTTTGATACTCCAGATGTTAAATTTATAGGATTTTAAAGGCTATATCATTCATTTGCTTCTCTAGCTGGGTCCATTTGAGAGCACCAAGGTTGAATTGAAGGGGCTGACACCAGGAAGGCTCTACCTGTTCCAGGTGTGTGCAAAGGAGCTGCTGGGTTTGGGCGAGTGCAGCGAATGGAGCTTACCTGTTAAAATCATCATACCAAGAGCAAGGCTGTAGAGGCTCACTCTCACTTCCTGTTTTATTTACCCAATCTCCTTTTAAGCTAGCAGTAAAGTAAAGCTGAAGAACTGCAAACAGGTTGCATCTTTGTTGTTTTAGCTGCACAAACAATGCAAGCAATACTTATTTATATTTTCTTTTATTTATAAAGGAATAAATGGATATTATTTGTACAGTGTACAGTCACCATTTCCTTTGAAAATACTGTTGGTTTGTGTTGGTTGAGTCATTTGGAGCAACTGATAATAACCATACTGATCAGTTTATGACCTGTTTTGACTCCTTTTAAGAGACATTTTAATATCTTTGTAATCACTGTGTGGCAGCTCCACATTTTTGTGAAAAACTAAGGCATTTGTATTGAATCAATCAGTCAATGACATCCACCACGAGTGGTGTGACAAACTCAGAGTGTCTGACACCCAGAGTGCAGGACGGTGGTTTAGGAAGGTGCACATGAAACTTCTCTGGGCTGTACGTGCCGGGGCCGGGAATAGTAAAGGAATAATTAGGCCTCTTAGTCCGGCTCTGCATGGAGAAGGACGGCTGGCGCTGGCGGTAAACGTCTGGGTTGATGCTGTTATATTTTGCTGGTCCGGGGCTCATGGAGAGGTCTTCGGAGGGAGCTCCGACCTTCCTCCGGGCTGAGAAGCTATAGCTGGCACTGGATGGTTTATTAGGAACCTGGCAGCCCAGCAGATTAGGAAGCATGTAGCTGGAGTGCAGAAAACATTACATTAATGTTTAGCTTCAGAGACTTTTCATTCTTTGAAACTACAGCAACACTATCTCTGTTCTATGTGTTAGACCGTTTCTCTTTCCAAAATCCCCATCCAAGCCCATTCATTCCTATAGAAGACTCTAGCAAATGTTACTCAAACAGGAGTAAATTTGCTGGGAACTAATTAGGGCTGGGTGATTAAATGATAAAAATAATTATTTCTCAATATAAATATTACAAATGTTCAATAAGTTATCAATTTAATTAAGTTAAATCATGAATAAATCAGCACTTATTTTTTCTATTAAGATATTTATCTTGTTTTAAATAAAGATTTGAATAAGATTTTACTTAATTTTTTCTCATGCATAACTCATTTAAAATGGCTCTCTTCAATGTGAGATTACTGTCAAGTAAGACTTTTATCTTAAATGATTTTATCTTGTCTGCAAATCTAGATTTTATGTTTTTAACTGAATCCTGGTTGCAGATGAATGACTATAGGCAGCTAGCTGAACTGTGTCCGCCTCAATATGATTGTTTTAGTCAACCGAGGGTCAGTGGTCGTGGTGGTGGGCTAGTGAGCGTGTATAGGAAAAATTTTAAATGTTATCAAGTACGCTGTGATGAATTTAACTCCTTTGAAGTTCTCACTCTTAAAGTTGGAGGGCTGCAACCTATCATACTTGTTATAATTTATCGCCCCCCAAAACCGCCTGGAGGATTTTTATCAGAACTTCCTGAATTTTTATCTACTCTGGTTTTAAATTATGACAGAATTGTTCTTTGTGGCGATTTTAATATTCATGTTGATGACCCCACCAATGTTAATGCAACTAACTTTTTAAATATGGCCACTTCTTTTAACTTCAAACAACATGTCAAAGGGCAAACCCATAACCGTGGTCATACACTGGACTTGGTTTTTACCCTGGGTGTCAGCATTTCCTCTGTGGAATTAGTGGACATGACCATATCTGACCACAGATGTATTGTTTTTAGCTGCAATTCACCTGTTACTCATGCCGCCTCACCAAGCTCCGTGTGTTCTCGCATCTTTAATGAACAAAGTGTTTCAAAGTTTGGCGCATTCTTTCAGAGCCAAAGCCAACACCTGTCTGATTCCAACACCAACAATCTAGTCGATCACTTCAATCATATCTGCTTGTCGTCACTAAATATTACTGCTCCTCTAAGGTTAGGCCTACGTCTAAAGCTAGTAAGCAACCCTGGATAAATGACAGCATTCGCAGCCTAAAAAAGATATGCAGGAAAGCAGAGCGCAGATGGAAAAAATCCAGTCTCCAAGTCCATTACCTCAGTCTGAAGGATTTATTAATTAACTACAATAACATGGTTAAAGTTGCGAGAACACACTATTTTTCTGAACTCATTACTACACATAAACACAATCCCATGTTTCTGTTTAAGACTGCGGATCAGCTGGTAAACTCAACCCCTCCTTGTGCCTCAGCTGGAAGTAATGATGACTGTGAATTGTTTTTATCTTAATTTACCAATAAGGTGGTGTCAATCAGAGCCTCTATTACCCCCGTGGCCTCTTACTCAGAGGTTCCTCACCAGCAACAAGAGAGTTTCAACCAGTTTTATCCCATCGACTTGTCTGAGCTTTTAAAAGCAGTATCACAAATGAGAGTGTCCTCCAGCCCACTTGATGTAATACCTACAAAATTTTTACTGAAAGTAATAGATTCTGTTGGGCCCTATTTGATCTCTGTTTTCAACAGCTCCCTATCTACTGGTTGTGTCCATGATTATTTTTAAATGGCTTGCGTGAACCCACTTTTAAAGAAACCTGGTTTAGATCCCTCCCTCCCACATAATTTTAGACCAATTTCAAAACTGCCTTTTATTGCTATTTTAGAAAGAATTGTGTCCAAACAGCTGCTCACTGTACTGGAAAATAACAAATTATTTGAAAAGTTTCAGTCTGGTTTTAGGAAGTACCACAGCACTGAGACTGCCTTGCTTAAAGTCACCAATGACCTTTTAATGTCTGCTGATGAAGGTATGTGCTCAGTCCTTGTACTCCTGGACCTTAGCGCTGCTTTTGACACCATTGATCACAACATCATGTTAGACAGACTGAGGCACTGGGTGGGGATCTCTGGTACTGCCCTAGAATGGTTTTCATCCTACCTGTCAAATAGGAAGTTTTGCGTGTCTGTAAACAACTATGTCTCCTCATTCTGTCCAGTTAAATATGGTGTGCCTCAGGGGTCGGTCTTAGGACCCATTTTGTTTTCCTTGTATCTGCTTCCCCTTGGACATATTATCCATAAACATGGCATTTCTTTTCATATTTATGCTGATGACACACAAATATACTTGCCCATCAGATCCACAGATACTGGAATGCTAAGTTCACTTAACAACTGCCTTTGTGAAGTTAAAAAATGGATGTCAAATAATTTCCTCCAGCTGAACTCAGACAAAACAGAAATCCTGGTCATCGGGTCTCAGCAGATGGCAAATCCAATACTGCCATCTGCTGGTTCCCTAGTAAATCACATTAAGCCTGTGGCAAAGAACCTTGGTGTTTGGTTTGATAGTAATTTAAATTTCGAGCAGCACACCACAAAGCTTGTTCAATCATGTTTTTATCAACTTAGAAATATAGCAAAAATTCGATCTATGTTAACTTTTAAGAACACCGAGACCATTTTACACGCCTTCATCTCATCACGCCTGGATTATTGCAACAGCCTTTTCACCTGTTTAACCCAAAAATCTATTGATCGACTCCAGACTGTCCAGAACTCAGCTGCCAGGCTTTTAACCAGAACAAAGAAATATGACCACATTACTCCTATTTTAGCTTCATTACACTGGCTCCCAGTATGTTTCAGAATTGACTTTAAAATTCTATTGATCACTTTTAAAGCTCTTCATGGCCTCTCGCCTTGTTATATTTCTGACCTTTTAGTCCCATACGCACCAGCACGTACCTTGAGATCCTCGGGCAGAGGTCTGTTGTCTGTTCCAGAGTCTCGACTGAAAACTAAAGGGGACAGAGCGTTTGCTGTCAGGGCCCCGAGGCTCTGGAACAGCCTGCCTGAGGAAATCAGGTCGGCTGAGTCAGTGAACTCTTTTAAGTCCCTTCTTAAAACATACTTTTATAGGAGAGCCTTTCCCGATCTTATTTGACTTTATTTTATCCCTTTTATTTTATTGTATTTTACTAATTTTATATTAATTTTTCATGCTCTTATCTTGTTTTTTTGTATTATTCTTTACACTTGTTAAAGCACTTTGTAACTTGTTTTTGAAAAGTGCTCTACAAATAAGGATTATTAATATTATTATTATTATTATTATGTTAATAAAAGATTAAAAGATCACTCTTTCATGTATAATTATAATGGTCTTGAACATTTTGTGAAATGATGAAGTGTTTGTCATGTTCTGACCATAAAAAATAGTTTAAAACCACATTTAACAGTCTGGTGTCTTCAACTTTCACTCAGGGGCAAAAATCATCCTTTAAAATTGAAAGAGACATTTATCGTGATAATTATCGATATCGACTGATATATTATCGTGATAACATTTTTGGCTATGTTGCTAAGCCCTACAGCTAATGCACAAATATACATTTGGTTTGCTACTCAAAATAAACTACAGTGCCCGTGTTCATCATAATGAGGGACTATCTCATCTCACTGATGTGTTTTGAATAGTTTCGGACAACAATACTGCCCTACAAAGTCTAAGTGCAGTAACTACGCAAACACTGAAACTGAGAAAAATGCCTTTAAAGTTTTGAGACTAGCCAGTCAAACATGTTGTGGTTAGATCGGTGGTAACGCATTCATGTAATACCTTCTTAGGAAGACACTTTTATAGATAAAAACCAGGTCTTTGATGTGCCCTTTGACCCTCAAAAAGTAGATACTGCACTCTGCCTTTGGATGACCTTAACCAACTAAAACAGCAATGTTCATTCAACTTTCTTGTTGTGTTTCTTACTACATGTTGATTGTTTTTAATAGCTTTATTCATGTTTACAAGTTGCAAATGTTGAAATTGCTCAGTAGTAAGCCTCAAAATTAAGTTGTCTTTTATTGTAATTGTCCTTTACCACAGTGTTTTGCTCTTAAAAAATTGACTTTGAAGAAACTGTCATCTTCATTGTCTTCATTTCCCCAACCATCATCAGCATTTTACACAATATATAAATGTTGATGTGTTATACCATTAGAATTTTTTTTGTGTGTGTGTGTGTGTGTGTGTGTGCGCGCGCGCGCGCGCGCGTGCCGGTGCTGTCGGGTGCACTGGTGCACTGTCCTGAGGAGGCACAGCCAACTTTAGCTAACTTTAACATAACTTTACCGGAGCCGGCTAACCTCTGTCACAACAATTGGAATAGCTGCTTTAAATGTGAAGAAAGAGATGCCCGAAATAAAAAACATCAACGCGATTATAAATCACGCTGTCACAGTAAATGCGTTCCTGGGAGCAGGTAGGCTAAAATGTTTGTCTGATTTGCAAGTGGCTGGCTAGCCAACTTAGCTAATATTAACTGATTATAAAGCTGTCATTTGCCTTGCTGCGTTTTAATGCAAGTTTAACAATGATTTTACTGCGGGATTGTGCTATGGTGTTCCTCTATGGGAAGCTAATATTAGCTGTTTAGCTTGTTGGTTATGTGTGAGGGAGTGTTACGATCGGGGCAAACGGTAGTTCACTTCGGGATTAGGTTACCAAGGCAGACCGCAGTATCTGCGGTGTCAAAGCCGGGAAAACAAAGCCAGCCAGAGCGCAGTAACATCACTTACTGCGGTTTTCCTTGGTATTAGCTTGGATTTTGTAGTTACTGCAATTTTGACACTCTCGTTTCTCTGAAACGGGGCAAAATTTAAGTAGGAGACTTTGTCACAAGACAGAACAGATATCATAAAGCCCATTTCAAGTTTTAACTCAATTTTGACCAAATGTGTAGTTACTGCGCTTTGGCTTTGTAGGGCAGAATAGAGTTCTAAGGCACAGAAGGGAAAAAAGCTGTCAGGCTTTGGCTACACAGACGATACTTCTATAGAATATCGCAGACTTATCCTTTAACCTCTGCCCTACTGTCTTCACCTGTTGGGTGCTGGTACAGCATCCACAGAGCGGTATCTGGTGCGGGTGCCGATGGTGTAAGACGGTGGTCTTTGATGAGCATTGAGAGGTGGCGCCTTCTCTGGGCTGTAGGCCCCCGGCCCTGGAGTCTGGAACGGCTCACCTATGAACATTTGGAACAATTGGTTCGGGATGTATTCCTGTCTTTATCACCTTTATTAAATTGGAAAAGGTGTGTGCGTGTGCGTGTGTGTGTGTAAGGTGTGTCGGAACAAAACATTCTCTAATCCTCTTCTAATCTTTTAATAGAGTGGTGTTCTAAAGAAAATCCCTTCCTTACCTAATTAACGGGATGTGTGTGTGTGTGTTTGCTCGAAAGTGTTTGATTCACCAACTGAGATTGAACTACATTCTGTGGTTCACTGATTCAATAATTTAACCAGCATCTATCTATGTATATATTTACAATGTTTAAAATTTGTTTCACCTTTATTCCCTGTGCGCCTTCCTCTGCCCAAAATTGAGTAGGAGGGGGTTTCCATCCGGCCAAACCGGGTGACCATGGCATCAATGTAGTACCTTGGTCCTGGGCTGGAGTCCACAGAGACCACTACAGAAAACGTCTCGGGTTACGTATGTAACCCTGGTTCCCCGAGAAGGGGAACGAGACACTGCGTCGGTTACGACACTATGGGAACGCCTCTAGGCGTAGCAGGTCTGAACGTGAATGAAATCACTCCAATCCTATTGGCTTGTTGCTAGAACGGTAAGGTGTGACGGAATAACCGGAGGAGTATAAATTTGTATGAGTATTGTCGAATCCCATACTACCCCTAGGAACGTAGTCCGTTGGGTGGGCGCCAGCACACTCTTCTTTGCGTTGAGCCTCAGCCCTAAACGCCGCAGATGAGCCAGAACAACATCTCGATGCCGAACCGCCAACTCTCGAGACTGGGCTAGGATGTGCCAGTCGTCGATGTAGTTGGTGAGAAAGACTCCCCTACCCCGGTCTTCCCTGAGCTCCGTCAGGACTGGATGACGGTCCTCAGACCGCATCTCTCAGAAGGCTGAGGGTGAGAGCGCCGTCTCGCTGCCCCAGCTCCTCGGGGGGGCCCCCGAGAAGCGACACTCTGCTTCCTCTCCTCTCCGTAGGAGCTCATAGAGGGAAGGGACCTACGCCTGGCAGCCTCAGCTGCCTTGGGTCCAGACCGGCGAGGGAAGTACTGGCGGAACGCTTCGCCCTGCGTGGATGTGGTGCGACATGGCTTGGAGGGTAACGCCGGCTTCTCCAGGGAGGACGCAAGTCGAGGGGAGAGATAGCTCGCAAGCGCATCCTCCACCCGAGGCATCCTCCCATAACCACGGTTCCTAACCCTCATCACATTACTGTAATTCAGTGATAGGGGTGTGGAAAGCTGTGTAGAGAAGGGTCTGCCCCATGATTACTCAGTTCATCATGTAAATCAGAAAAGAATGGCAGAGACCGGCGTGGAGGTGGTGCGTGGTGCTTAAGAAACCTTTCATCAAGCTCACCACTAGCCTGTGGTGTCTGCTCCTCCTGTGGCCAGTTGATGTTGAGCTTAGCCACGGCTCTAGTCACCACCTCCAGCAGCACGTCATAGTCGGGCGCCGCCAGATGACACCGCCCCGACACCCGGAAGTCATCGTCCACTACGCTGAGCACATTGCTGCAGCATCTCCGGATCCAAACCGCGAGCGGGAGAAGCCGAGAACGGGCTCCCGAACGAGGAAAGGAAGCGTCGGAGCCAGCGGATGAAGGTCGGGAAAAAGCCTCAGCCGTCCCGAAATCCTCCGACAGATCACGCTGTGAACCCCATGAGTGAAGCCGCCGGGCCGCCTCAGCGGCCGCAGGGCCCGCGCCACGGGGAAAACACATCCGGCCATCCTCGGATAAAGAGAGCCATGCGGGACCTCAGTACCCGCATGGAAAGGGCTTCATGCAGGCAGCCCCCTCGAGAGCTGCCCGGGCGTGCTCCATCCCCAAACATGAGACACACATCTCATGAGAATCTCCATCCGTGATGTACCGAGGGCAAGAAAAAACACACCTTCTGTACTTCTGGTTGCCGGACATGCTGGTAGACTTCTTCTTCAGGTAAGACACACTGCTTGTAGGACTGGAGCTTTCTTCAAACAACATACAGAGCGCCTGCTGAATAGAAAAAAGCTAATGATGAGTGTGTACAGGTGTGCTTTATACTCCTCCGGTTATTCCGTCACACCTTACCGTTCTAGCAACAAGCCAATAGGATTGGAGTGATTTCATTCACGTTCAGACCTGCTTCGCCTAGAGGCGTTCCCATAGTGACGTAACCGACGCAGTTCGAGTTCCCTCGAAGGGGAACACAAAGCACAAGCAATCATCCAAAGACAGATTAAGTGAACCAATTCCAGACAGGCATTTAGCATTTTTTTTTAAAAAGTCAACAAAACATGAAGGATCCATGTGAGTAAAAACTGGGACACCGCAGACCATTATTAAACATGTAGACAAGTGACAGGTATATAACAGCTTACTGGCACTGGTCATGCGGCTGTGGAAGGAATAGGCAGGGCTGCTGGGCTTGGTATAGTCATGATTGATGTATCCAACTGTAGGTGGCAGAGCGTAGCGTCCAGGGCCCGGGCCTGACAATGAGAAGAGGAGGATGATGGTGATGAAAATGATGCAACAGATGCCGCTCCTATCAGCAGTATAGCACACCCGCCGCTCTGCTGGCTCGGGCTGTATTGCCTCTGATGGTTTCCATATGGAGCTCTTTGACTTATTTTCTATGGTTATGCATTTTAACATTCTTCCTCTGCTTGTTTGGGAATGGATTCTAAACAAAGTAGAACTCTCAAACAAGTGTGGAGCAATGGCTGTATAATGCTGTGCGAGATTTCATAGCAGAAACAGTTCAGCTATAATATGGACCATGTGCATAAACACACACACACACACACACACACACACACACACACACACACAGGCATACACATTCCTTAAACTGACCTCTTTCTCTAGCAGAGATTATCGGCCGTTTTTTCTCCACCTCCTGCATACTCTGCCTCTTTATTCCTACTTCTTTGTCCTCTTCTCTTCCTCTTTGGGTCCTCTCTGACTTCAGACACTTCCTTTGTTTGTGTGTTTGGCTCTCTCCAGGTAAACCACGGACTCCTGGGTTGAATTATACATGATCATGAGGTGAAGAAACCCTATCTTGACCGAGGCCCTGGGTACGCCCGAACCTGCTCTCCACTTCCTTTTCCCCTGGGTCCACACGGGACAAAAGGTTTTCACAATCAGGGCCAAAAAGTCGACTCTGTCAAGGCTAAAAGGAGGACAGTCAGTGATTGTTTGAGACTAAGATGTCTTAGATCTTCTTTTAAAGTTAAATGAAGAACAACATCAGCACTGAAGATACTTATGTACAGCACAGAAAATAGAGATTCAGAGGGGAAATGCAACAATAATCATATCAGTAACATGTAATGTAGTTTAACTAGCAAGGACCACGCTAAATGGCTTCTTCCAGGAAAAAAAATAAAATAACAGTATTGAAATATATTAATAACTATTGAAAAATCACCAGGAATAGTTCTACTTTTTTTCTTCAATTGTCTTCTAGTGTCTGACTTCTAAGTTGGTTAAAAGCCAAAACGGATCAGCTCTTCTTAGTGAAAAGTGACTACTCTAAGTACATTTACTCAAGTACTGTTGTTATTCTATGCTTGTACTTTACATTTCTCTTTTATACTACTTTACACTTCACTTCACGGGGCAACTTTCAAAGCAAAGAGAGATTTCAACAATGGTTCTAATCATATAAGGGAGAGTACAACTGAATCTTGGCTGAATCTCGATTTTCATTTTATAAGAAAGCAAGACCATCCCCATGGTTATTAACATTTTCTTTGGACCCTCCCCTAACTGCAATACTTTCTTAATGAGCAGACAGACTGAGGGTAGATTTATAAAACGGAAACACTAATATCTGTTTGATATATATTTTGATAGAAATAAATACAAAATACAGTACATGATATAAGATTAAAAAGCTTGTATTTAATCCATGAAATGTTGCAATCATGCCCTCGATAACAGAATAAAACCACTCACCTCTTACATTCAAACTACAAAACGTAATTTTAAAAAACTATTATTTCTCGTATTGTTTCTGTGTTTTGAGACTTAAAACTGGGTTTGCAGCCAAAAACAAGGTTAAGAAAACTCCACTATATTCCATAGTAGGCTACTTTGACTGCTAGCTTAGCAACTGTGTGCAACTGTGACAGAAAAGCCCCGAGGACCAGGGTTGTAGGACTAGGGGGATGAAGGGGAGTATGCAAGGCCCTCATGTGAGGAGGGCCCATAAAGATACAGAAGTAATAGCCGTGGATGCCGGAGGGGCCCATAGAGAATGTCTATGGATAGGGTCCAGGATTTTTTGCTACGCTAACTTTTGGTAAATACAAAGATGTCTGCTTTCCAGTGTGAGAAACACAGGTAGAAATTCACCCTCTTGCTCTCCCATTCTACTAATTGTATCCATGTAGCCAGAGGTAACTAAAGCCTTTAGAGCAGAGCTATTACCAAGTTAAACCCAGCACTGGTTAAATATTAAACACCAGTGTCACAGACTCTGTAATAAGACTCTTCTGGGTAACCAGCACGAGAGAAGGAACCCATTACGCTGGCAGGCACTGACAATGCAGAGAGCAGTGAGAGATGTGTCACAGATGTAACTCGTTGTTGTGGGACGAGATGCAGCCTGGATTCATCAGGGTAAAAATTTGTCAAAGATGTCAGCTTTTTATGGCCCTCTGCAAAGTTATGTTTTATGTCTGTTTTTGTTCAGGAGCTCATTTACAGAATTCAATGAAAAGTGTTGGGAGGTTTGGCCATGGAGCAGGGAAGAACTAAAGGTGCAGATTGCGCCACCATGTGGTCAGCGTTAAAATGTTTTTGCTCCTAAATGCTAAACTCTAAAGCTTTTCTTGGTCTGTTTTATAAGACACTTTTTTGCCACTCCCGGAAATTTCAATAACATTACCTTTTCCATTTTCCTGTGGTTGCAATAATATTGCATGCTTGGCCTAATTGACATAAATTGCCATGATTATTAAACACATTTGGTAACTGTGCCTAAATTTAATGGCATGAGCACGATCATGAGTACACTCTGATCAAAGGTTGATTAATTTGACTCACTTGAATTTGCACACAATCTATCCCTAAACTGTTGTTTGGTATTTTTAGTTTAAGTGAGAAAGGATTTCTAGCACAACTTCACTTACTGCCAAGGTGCACGGAGAAGGGAAACAAGACTGAAGAGGTAGTAGACCCTGATGAAGGCCACAAGCTGAAACGCGTTGGTCTTACAATGAGGTTGTTCCTGTCGCTACAAGAGTTGCTGGAGATATTACTTATTTTAGATTACTGATATTTAATTACTTGATTGATTAAAAACTTCTAAACATTTTCAAATATTAAAAAATAACAAATATGCGTGTGCCCCCATGACTTGGGGATTGTGACGCCGACCGTGAATCCAGTTTGAGATCAGGTGGGGACCTTTGTTTTATGTCATGCCTTCTCTCTCTCCTTGTTTCCAGTCATGTCTACTAAAAGGCATAACATTTATTGCACGCTTTCTGCTTATTTTGGGGGTGATATGAAGAGAAAAATTTATTCTATATTCATATTATGTCCATATGAACTAATGTTTGGAAACATTTCAGTTCAGACAATCTGACCAAAATCCTGATCAGTAAGTCATACTCTATGGAGCTACAGAAAAAGAGGTGTATTTATCATTGTGTCTGCTGATTGGAAGTCATTTCCAAACCCTTAATTTCTAACAACATTTTTATAGAACATCAGAGATTGATAACAACTTCAGTCATTGATATTTTCTTTACTAGCTAAACATAACTTAAGAAATAAAACATAACTTTATACAGTTTTAAATATGCTGGTACAATTCAGTACAAAAATAAAGGCAGTGAAACGTCTCCATACACAAACACCATCATGTCATCAGTCACATACTGTCACTTAGAAACACATGGATGTTGGGTGAACCAGTTTGGCACGTTATCCACTTATTTAACAAAGCATGAATTAAAAATACTGTATGATAATTTGTTACTTTTTCTTTTTACATTAGGACCACAGTGAAAGCTTTGTTTTGGAGTATCCATGGATGCTGAACAGCCACTAGATGGTGCTTTGGATCCACAGGAGAAACTCAAAAAAAGGTCTCAGAATACTTTTATATGCTCGGGCAACACTTCTAGTTTGTCTGAATCTGTTTTGATCACCTTTGTGCACATTTTGAGCAGGCACATGTCCAACGTCTTTACTGACACCCGAGTTATTTATGCTACAACGTCCTTTGAGAAAGTAGAGTAGTCCGTCCATCATCTTTCTAATGATGATACCAGGTCCAAGTCCACCTTCTCAGTCCCTCCCAGTTGCACCTTTTCAGACAAAAGAAAGTGCTCATGTCGACTGGAAATGATGCATAAAAGAAGAAAATCCCACAGATTCTTGTTGGACGTCCTCTCACAGCCACGGCTGGTATTTGCACAAAATGTCCATAGCAAAATGTCTTATAATTCCCATATAAGAATACAATCTCTCTTTCTCATACACACATAGACAAAAACACACTCACTCAGTTCTTTTCTTGACTTGTTTTCTGCTTGTAAAAAGGCAGCGTGTGCTAGGATTTATCCCCTTGGAGAACCTAAGTTCAAAAACAAAATCTGTTACAAATCAGAGTTTAAAAAACAGACTGTTTCTACTTTAAGTGTGTATCACATGTGTGTATGCAGCACGTGTCTGTCATTTGAATACATATGTGTGTCCCTGCATTGGTGATGCTTACCTACCTGGTTGCGGACTTTGTGGGATTTCTGCATCAGCACTCTCCACTGGTCGTAGAGCTTCATGGACATGCTGCTGCAGCCGTAGGCGTGTTTCCGCACCCAGCCGAAGAACTGCTTGAGCTCCCTGCGCAGGGTGGAGTTGGAGTCCCCGCTGGACTTCGAGTCACAGGAGCCTGACATCAACCGCTCTGCATGAAGGGAAAGAAAAGGAGGGAGAGAAAGAGAGGGAGAGAATGAGACTGGTATTAGACTGGCTTTGGTGTTCTGTAATGAAACATGTCACAGAACAGCAGTTGTGGAAGAAGTACTGAGATCCTTTATGTGAGTAAAGTAAACAAGTAACAGGTCCTGCATTCAAATGTAAAATAACTCCTTCTGCAGTAGAATGGCCCCTGTGACTGATATTCTATAATAAATGGCATTATTAGATTGTTAATACTGATGCATTAACGCATAGTTGGTTGCAAGATGATTAGCGGTAGGAAAGGGAAAAAAAAAGTTTTGCAACACTCTTGCTAACAGCTCATAGACAAGAGGTTTAATCTTAAACCATGCATTGTATTTTATAAAGCTGTTATATTAGGCTAGCTATATCTGTTGAAAAAATGCAGCGAAGTCAAAAGTACAATAGTGGAGTACAGTATAAAGTTAAGTATAAAGTTATATATGAAATCTTCATGTAAAGTACAAGTACTTCAAAAATGTACTCAACTACAGCACTTAAAGCAGCTATAATCTATATTTTTTAACAACAATGTATCAAATGACAATGTGAAAACAATTTGGAAAGTGAAAGGCATCGCTGGTAGTGATGAACTTGCAGTGAATTAACACCTGAATCTGCAGCTTTATAGAGAGTTTCAGCTCTTTCAGCTTTAGCAGGCAGCTGTTTTTGCTGTTTAGTGAATATGCTATAAAGACCTACTGTACCCTACCTGCTCAGCACCAAACAGCAGACAAACACAGTTAGCGACTAGCTGGTGAACATAGTGGAGCATTGAGCAGCTGAAGAGCCAGATATTTCCCTCTGGAGTTGATAGAGACTGAAATAACTGAGCTAAATGAGGGTGAATATTGGACTTACATTCATTATGGGGACACATAGACAACTCCAAATGAATGATGTTGCTCTGTATCTGCTATATGTGTAAAGAAGCAACTGGTTGCTAAGTTCACCATTTAAATTTAAAAGGTATGACAGTGTTGTTTTACAACTTGTTTCTCCTGCCCCCAAGTGGCCAAATAATCAGTTATTGCAGGTTTAAATACAGCAAAGCAAAGAAGAAGTAGTAAGAAATTGCTCAAGATGTGTGCCATGGAAAGTTCAGGTTGAACAGTCTGGTCCTTTTGTCAAAATTCCTGGCTTTTGTGGGTGAGTTCTGGGAAACCCTTAAATTTAAAACTCAAGTTTTGTTTTGATAGTCTTGGCCTTCATTCCTGTCAGTTATGATAGGATTAAATTGTGTTCCCTCTCCTTAATTGATCTTTTTATCAGTTCATTGTCAAGCCCTTTGTATTACATCTAAAAGATTACATAACCAACATCTGGTGTTATTTTGCAATGTTTGCTATGGCAATAATAAAATTTGGTTTGGCTACGATTTTTGATCTTATTTGATTTGATTTTAACTGACCTGCCATAAATAAAACTGCCAATACAATACAAAACAGACAGGAAGAAGGATAAAGAAGGCTAAAACAGCACCGTCTTCTTCTTCTATGAACCTGCCAGTTTCCAGCAGTGGGAGAGAGCTGTGGGAAGTGCGGTACACCATGATACAAAACAAATCTTAGTGGTACAAATTGCCTCTTAAAATGGACCAAAAGGCTCTCAAAAAGATCAAGAGCAAAAAAAAAGCCTTAATTTAGTGTTTGAGCGTGCACTCACCACTGTGGGGTGTGGATGCAGCTGTAGGATGGCTCCACTCACTCCAGATCCCAGCTTTACGAGAGCCGTAGATGCCCACAGGGTTACAGCGAACCTAAAGAAAATACAACGTTAGTACACCCACATACATTTCAACACACACACACACACACACATAACCACACCATACCTGGACAAAATACACTGTTCCAGATCTCAGTCCAGCCAATCTACAAGATGTCTGATTCCCGACATCATCCATCACCTACATGAAAGAAAAAAAAGACAAACACAGAGCAGTTGAGCGTTGGAGGTCTGACCGCAGTATTAAATACCAATGGGCATAAACTAAAACACAGCGCAGAATCAAGATGTAGAAAACGCAACCACAAACCATGTACAGACCTAAACATGCATGCACACCACATTGTTTAGTGGCTCCTGATCAGCATGTTTATGAAAATATTTTCATGTAATCGTGCCTGCTGGGTAAAATCTGCTCTCTATTACTTATTACAGAGCTGGTTATGCTGAGAAACACACACACAGAGGAGCGTGCACACACAGGTACTCGTACAGGCAGATGGCAAAAATAAAAGACAAGCAAGTAGAGAAAAAGAAACACCCACATACTGCAGCTAATAATGTTGTCTAATAGTCCCCACTTTCTCTCCGGCATTCAGTCTGTAAACACTTGTTAAGAACGACTACAACAGAAAACAGAACATGGAAATTACAGGCATCAGAGGGCTAATGATGTGACATGGGGAAGGCAAATCGCTGAGCGTCTTTACAGCCATATTGAAGACATTAACAGCTGAGATGAATCTCTCAGTTCTTCAGCATGACCTCATGATTAGGGCCGGTTCAGATGGCAACAGCATTTTGTTTTCACCACCAAACCCTTAAAGCCACTTGGATTTAAGTGTCCTCTCTCCTCCTTCGAAACAGTCTCATCCCTCTTCCGCCGCTTCTCTCCACTCCCCTTCTTTTCTTTTTCCACTTTGCAAGCGAAGACTTGCTTATATTACATCTGTGTAATTCCCCCTTAATTACTGGAGAATCTTCACTCGTACCCAGAGGACTCAAATGAATTCTGGTAAAGCACCATCTGCACAGCTGAAGGTTTTTAACACTGTATTTTTCATTCATTAAATGTTTGACCAGAGGTATACACAGTGGCTCTGGCTTGTGTATTTTCTTCTGATCAAAACCTGATGTGCAGATTTATGACTGATAAAAGTTGAACGGCTCAACTCGTCTGGCAGAGGAGCCCTCAATCAGACTAGATTAGAAGTGATTACAGCGTTAGGATGTGAAACAGCTGGGACGGTGCTGCGGTGATGTATCTGTTTGTGTGGAAGAGACAAAGAGAACTGATTTATGCCCTTTTAATTGTTTGCTCTTGTCCTTTACCTTCCAGTCTTGGCTGTCCTCCAGTCTGTAGCGGATCTGGTATTTGGCCTGAAACAGGAAGTCCTTGAGAGCAGGCGGGGCCTCCCAGCGAACACTCAGCTGGTCCTCTAACTGCCCGACGCGACTGACAGCCACACCTGACGGAGGGTCCGTGGTCACTGGAGGACGAGGAGATGGAGGAGGTTGTTAAGTAAGAAGATCTCATCAAGAGCTAAAACAATGAAAATATGCCAAAAATCAACTGGGTCCAATTCTCAAATATGAATATTTACTAGTTTTTTGACTGTTGGTCAAAGCCATTTGAATACACCACCTTTGGTTCCAGGAAAATGTGATGGGTATTTTCTGACATTTTGTAGACCAAAGTATTATCGATCATGTCGTAGTATCCATTAATCAATAAAATACTTGTTAGTTGTAGCCCAAATCTCATCATATCTAACAAGTCATGCCTAAAAGTCACGTCTTCTATCTTCCTGACTAATCAGTTAATTTGTTTAGTGTATAGAATCTCTGCAAATAATGAACAATTCCCATAATAATTTCCTACAGGATGATGTCGTCTTTGCTTCAAAAATGACTGAAATTATTATTTTGATAATCAAAACATTTATTTATAACATTTATTTTCATTATACAACATCATTTTTGTTCCGCTCCCAGTTTGTGCCGCTCATCTGAGACTTTTACACTGATTATTACATTCGTTCACTGCTATAAGCTACTGCCTACATCACAAGCCATTCAAATTTTAATCCTAAATTATGTAAGCAAATATGAAATATTTGAAAATATTAAATGTAAAAGTATAGGCAAATGAACTCTTTGAGTTTTGGTGAAGCATTGTGGCTAACTTGTATATTTTTGCATTATAGACAGAAAAGAGAGAGTGAAACAAGTTAAAAAACATTGACACATTATCACCATTTCAAGTTATGGCAAGCATGTTAGCAAACAGTTGCTGATCTACACACAGAGCAACAATATCATTAATTTGGAGTCCTGTTTCTGTTCACCTGACGAATGTTAAGTCTAATATTCACTGTTTGTTTTTGATCTCTCCCCACTCCTGAGGGAAATACCTGGTTCTTTAGCTGCTAAACGCTCCACGATGTTCATCAGCTAGTTGCTTTTTCACTAAAAACAGCTGTCTGCTGCTGCCAGTAATGACGTTGCTGCTGTAACGCTCCGCAGAGCTGACTTGGGTGATAATTCTCTGTTGATTTGTCATTACATGTGCCTCCGGTCACATTACAGCCATTTCTTCAATTGTTAACATAAAAATATTGATTACAACAGCTTTAATGATTTCAGAAATGTCTTTAAAAATTTAATGCATGTGTTACGCAACAGCCTGCTAGATTTGTTTGTGGCTTGTATGTGTGACTATGATGTCATACTCAGTCTCAAATGTACAAACAATGATTTCATGACAGGCACAGTTTGTGCCTGTCATGAAATTATTGCGTTCATTAAAAAGTATATTTCTTTCCTAACAACTTAATGATAAACTTCTGGTGGACAGATTTCCGAGATTGTCATTTTTAGCCAAAAATTCATAGCTAAGGGGCCTATGTCCACATTTCAGTTTTGTTTGCAGGGTCAAGAAATCCATTCAATTTAAAGCAGTAGGAGTGATATCTTTATGTATAACAACACAATGAAGGATTGTTCAGCGCTGGCGGAGGTTCGTGGTCTCTGAGTGCCTTCTAGTTTCTGAAGAGTTGACTTGTGTGAGCTGGAAGGGGCCTTTTCATCTGACAACGATTATCGTTTCAACAAACAAACATATGGTGACAGACCATTATTTTAACTTTCCTCGCGTTTTGTTTTGGGCTTTTGAGATTGTTTCAATATCAACTTCAAGTCCCTTTCATAATGTCATCCTTTACCAATAAACAAACAATACGACCCAGGGGAAAGTAGAAGATGGGAAAGATTCAGTGCAGGGAAAAAGTGGGAGTTGACACAAGAGTTTACCAGTGTTCAGAGGAGCCAGCCAGCCACAAACAAAAATTTGTTACTTCAGACGTGTCAGTTTGTATTCATGGTTGATTTAAAAGTTTAATCTGTCTTAGAAAAAGTATTTGTTATTTTTAATACAAAAGTTGAGAGTAAAGCTAAGAAAACAAAAGCTTTACCTCAGTGGAGACACTAACTGCCCAAACCATATGCATTTAGTTGGACAAAGATAAACCACAATTAATTAAAATAACTGATGCACTTAAATGTATTTTTCTTGGTGATTTTCTCTTCTTTTACTTGTTAATATAGGGCTTTAAATTGCAGTGGGTTTTATATTATTAAATTTTTTTAAGCTTAACTGAAAAATAATCTTTTAAAAGTAGGATTAAAATAGTGTGAAGTACAGTAGAAGCTGAGCTCAACCATGATTTATTCCCATATCTCGACCAAGTTGAGCTTGAATTTGTTTTTTCGTTATTTCAGGATGACATAGTTGTTTTCTTATAATAAAAGGGGTTATTTATAACCAAGGGCACACTTTCCACTTTTCAGAATTATGTTTTTTTCCCCCCCTACCCTTCCACTTTCAGCTTGATTCACTCACTAAAATCTCTCTAAACAGTCTTCGTACTGTCCATCTTTAAGCTGAGAGAAGAGAGGATGCTGATATATTTTCAATTATTACTGTGATCACAGCAGTTAAGCTTTAAAAGCAGCAGTGAGTGTTTCATGGACTTTATTTGCCCCGTGTTTCACCTCTCACGCAAAGGCTACTGCCTTACCCTCTGGTTGGTGGATGTTTGCAGTAGCCTGAGAGCAGGACTGCCGGCTATACATAGGTCTGGAAAAAAATACTTCACAATCTTTTTCAAATAAAATGAAAATAGAAATGTAATCCATCAAAGCATGACAGCAGGTTTCATAATAATGTGTAATTGCTTGATTGATATGAATGGCATTCAGATATTTTCATTGTTATTTTGAGATAATATATTATACATGATTTTATATCACATTATTCTTGCTCTTTCAACAATTCAGTTAACACAAGAAACTCCAAGATATCCTGAAATAACAAGATAGTTCACTTGTGTAAAATTATAGCACCCATGGCCACTTGGTATTTCATAGTATAGATTGAAGGCAACATTTAAAAAAAAAAAAATTTAATTTAAAAAATAAGTAATTTGTCTGCAAATGTGTTGCTCCCATACATTATATGCATTGGGCAATAAAAGTCAATGAGACATGACAAATTACAGATGAATAATTGTTAACATATGTTGTGTCATCACTAAAGGCATCCTCATCTCAGAGTCAGACACAAGTTGCCTCTAGTCCCTCTGTTCAGAGGGTTCCCCGTGACTGAGGAATGCAGAGAAAGATGTAGGTGTTTCCGCCTCGCCTTCCCTAACTGATTAGACATGACCCGTAGATGTGAGTGACTCACAGCAGCTCGGCGCAGGTGTGGTTGCTGTGTTTTATGACCTGCTACTGTTGTGGAAACTGCTTGAATGAAAAGAATGGCGAGGGCAGCCTGAGCGAAACAAAACGCGCACACAAGTCCAAAAACCGCCCACACTCTGCCTGTCTCTCTGTTTCTATACTGTTACCAGGCCCTGCCCTGCCCTTGAGGTGTGTAAACAGGTGTGTGTGCGAGTGTGTGTGTGCATACATTAGGGAAAAGAAAGGGATTAGAGTTTGATCGACACTTGTTTCCTCGCCAGTGACGCGTTCAGCTCTAAAACACTATATGGTTTTCTCTCTGTGTATTACCCCGACACTATTCTGAACGTGTTAGGAGTGAACTAGGTGAAGAGCTCCAAGCTAATCATGTTGTATTATTTCAGGTCCAAGTCTTTAAGCCTCAAAGCCCAAACTCCTCGGGCCTCGTGGGTCTGCAGGCAGCTTGGAGAGAGGATTAGGTTCGAGGATCAGTCTGTAACATTCCAACACTACATAAAAGGGGGTTAGCGAGTGTCTTCTCTGTGTGTGTGCGGGTTTCTGTTTGTGTGTGTGTGTCCAGTGAGCATGACTAAAGAGAAAATGAGCTCATTTTAAGAGAGAGGGCGTTTCCCTTTGTCACACACCCACGCCTCTCCAGGTGTGTGCATGCATGTGTGTATGAGCGTGTGTGTTTTTTAAGGGGATAATGAGAAAAGAGAAGAATTTGCATGCTCCGTTTGCTTAAACCGCGCTAAGCTAGGCAACGGACCGCATAACAAAGCTTTAAAAGGGAACACCATTCAGTTCCTATCAGTGTAAAGCTGGATGAGTACTTGTGAACAACTTTCTTCAATAGCCAGAAGCCACAGAACTCCAGCCAATGTCCTGTCTTCTTCAACATTTTAAGGATGCCCATTTGAGGCTAAAGCTCAAGTAATTCGTGGACCCCAACCTGTGGGTCACAAGATAAATCTGAGGGGTCATACTGTTTCATCTCGTGTCGGGCACAGACCTGGCACGTCGCACATATTTGTTGTTGATTGTTAATCGTTGTTGTTGTATATTTTTATGTTGTCCGTTTATATATTTATATGTACACAATATTCTTTTCCGTTGCGTTAATTCTGCACGGCACAGACCCAGAATAATGCACATGTATGTACCTGCACTGTTGTTCTTCCCTTCCATATTTATATATTTCTACATTTATTTATGTTGACTTTATGTTTGTCTACGTTTAGCACCTTATCACCACAGCAAATTCCTCGTATGTGTAAAACACTACTTGCCAATTAAGCTCCTTCTGATTCTGATTCTGATTCTGATGAGATGATAATTAAGGGTAGGAATGAACTTCTTAACTTACAGTTTTCCTGCCTTGTTTTCCCTTTAAGGCTTTTAAATTATCTTATTCCACACTGTCTGACAGCATCACATCCAGTGTATATTATATATCCACTTGTGCCAGCTCTTCATTGAATCTATATGATGTTTACACTGGAAGGAATATTTAGCATTGCACCATTCATCAGGTGTGAATATTTTAGATGCCTTTGGAAACTTTGGGATATCCACTGTTATTTCAAATAAAGTTCCACAGGTTTGTAGGCTGCATGCTGTGAGGTTCAAATGGTTAAGAAAACACAGTGAATCTGCTGCACAAATTTATGTTTATTTCTTTACAGTCACAGCTTACAGGACACTGAGACCATCTTACATGCCTTTATATCATCACGCCTGGATTACTGCAACAGCCTTTTTACTTGCTTGACCCAAAAATCTATTGACTCCAGACAGTCCAGAACTCAGCTGCCAGGCTTTTAACCAGAACAAAGAAATACGATCACATCACCCCTGTTTTAGCTTCATTACACTGGCTCCCAGTATGTTTTAGAATAGACTTTTATTGATTACTTTTAAAGCTCTTCAGGGCATCTCTCCCTGTTATATCACCGACATTTTAGTCCCATACGCACCAGCACGTACCTTGAGATCCTCGGCTAGAGGTCTTTTGTCTGTCCCAGAGTCTCGACTTAAAACGAAAGGGGACAAAGCATTTGCAGTCAGGCCCCCGAGGCTCTGGAACAGACTGCCCCCGGAAATCAGGTCAGCTGAGTCAGTGAACTCTTTTAAGTCCCTTCTTAAAACATTTTTATAGGAGCGCCTTTCCCGATTTTATTTGGTTTTATTTTATTCTATTTTATATATAGTTTATATTTACTTTAAACATGTATCTTAGCCTCTAAAGTGTTTTCTTGCTTTTATCATGTATTTGTTTTTATGTGTTTTATTGTCTTTGCACTTGTTAAAGCACTTTGTAACTTGTTTTTGAAAAGTGCTCTATAAATAAAGATTATTATATTATTATAATATATATAATATTGTCCTCCAGCCCACTTGATGTAATACCTACAAAATTTTTACTGAAAGTAATAGATTCTGTTGGGCCCTATTTGATCTCTGTTTTCAACAGCTCCCTATCTACTGGTTGTGTCCCTGATTATTTTAAAACGGCTTGCGTGAACCCACTTTTAAAGAAACCTGGTTTAGATCCCTCCCTCCCACATAATTTTAGACCAATTTCAAAACTGACTTTTATTGCAAAGATTCTAGAAAGAATTGTGTCCAAACAGCTGCTCACTGTACTGGAAAATAACAAATTATTTGAAAAGTTTCAGTCTGGTTTTAGGAAGTACCACAGCACTGAGACTGCCTTGCTTAAAGTCACCAATGACCTTTTAATGTCTGCTGATGAAGGTATGTGCTCAGTCCTTGTACTCCTGGACCTTAGCGCTGCTTTTGACACCATTGATCACAACATCATGTTAGACAGACTGAGGCACTGGGTGGGGATCTCTGGTACTGCCCTAGAATGGTTTTCATCCTACCTGTCAAATAGGAAGTTTTGCGTGTCTGTAAACAACTATGTCTCCTCATTCTGTCCAGTTAAATATGGTGTGCCTCAGGGGTCGGTCTTAGGACCCATTTTGTTTTCCTTGTATCTGCTTCCCCTTGGACATATTATCCATAAACATGGCATTTCTTTTCATATTTATGCTGATGACACACAAATATACTTGCCCGTCAGATCCACAGACCCTGGAATGCTAAGTTCGCTTAACAACTGCCTTTGTGAAGTTAAAAAATGGATGTCAAATAATTTCCTCCAGCTGAACTCAGACAAAACAGAAATCCTGGTCATCGGGTCTCAGCAGATGGCAAATCAAATACTGCCATCTGCTGGTTCCCTAGTAAATCACATTAAGCCTGTGGCAAAGAACCTTGGTGTTTGGTTTGATAGTAATTTAAATTTCGAGCAGCACACCACAAAGCTTGTTCAATCATGTTTTTATCAACTTAGAAATATAGCAAAAATTCGATCTATGTTAACTTTTAAGGACACCGAGACCATTTTACATGCCTTCATCTCATCACGCCTGGATTATTGCAACAGCCTTTTCACCTGTTTAACCCAAAAATCTATTGATCGACTCCAGACTGTCCAGAACTCAGCTGCCAGGCTTTTAACCAGAACAAAGAAATATGACCACATTACTCCTATTTTAGCTTCATTACACTGGCTCCCAGTATGTTTTAGAATTGACTTTAAAATTCTATTGATCACTTTTAAAGCTCTTCATGGCCTCTCGCCTTGTTATATTTCTGAACTTTTAGTCCCATACGCACCAGCACGTACCTTGAGGTCCTCGGGCAGAGGTCTGTTGTCTGTTCCAGAGTCTCGACTGAAAACTAAAGGGGACAGAGCGTTTGCTGTCAGGGCCCCGAGGCTCTGGAACAGCCTGCCTGAGGAAATCAGGTCGGCTGAGTCAGTGAACTCTTTTAAGTCCCTTCTTAAAACATACTTTTATAGGAGAGCCTTTCCCGATCTTATTTGACTTTATTTTATCCCTTTTATTTTATTGTATTTTACTAATTTTATATTAATTTTTCATGCTCTTATCTTGTTTTTTTTTTGTATTATTCTTTACACTTGTTAAAGCACTTTGTAACTTGTTTTTGAAAAGTGCTCTACAAATAAGGATTATTATTATTATATTATTATTATTATTATTAATGCTAAGCAAAGCTAAGCTAATCGCCTCCCTGCTGTAGCTTCAAAGTTAATGCAGAGACATGAAAGTGGTATCAATCTTCCCAGTCTCACTCTTGGAAAGGCAGAAAGTAAGTGCATCTCCCAAAATGTTGAACTTTCTTTAAATGAACTAATTTTAAAATAAACAAAAACAATCCTTCAGTTGCATTCAAAAAGCCAAGTTAGTGGGATGGGAATTAACATGATCATTTTAACTGGCTAACATTGTGTTAGCCTTTATTAGTTAAGTAGATTTTCTTTCAGAAAGTAATGGGTTTCATATAGGTGTTTTGACTTTTTTTAGCATTGGGTGCTATCATATATTTTTTTTATCACTGTAGTTTTAGTGTTTCCTACATTTATTTGCAAATTATGCTATTTATGTTTGTAATCAGTTTTAAATGTACTTAACTTCTGGTTTTACTGTAAAGTGTCTTTGAGTGTCCTGAAAAGCGCTACAGAAATAAAATGTATTGTTATTATTATTATTATTAAATCACTTCAGTTATAGTTTGCTTCGTTCTTACTTTTCCTCTTGCAGTGAGACTGTGTGATTCTGAACTACCACTTTGATGTCGCTAATGGGGATTTGGATAAAGAATAAAGAATCTGAGAGGGGGAAATCACAAAATCCCTCCCTGACTGAACTGCTTACAAGTCACAGACATGCAGGTAGACATAGTTTTGTTTTATCAAGGGTCACAAGCCTTAAAGGCTGGTATCCCCTGTCCTAGATTTTAGCCTGAGGGCTCTCTGACACTAGGATCTAAGGCTCGAAGCTCTAAAAAAAACTGCAGTTCAAGAAAGGGGGTCATAGTTCACTTCTTCCCACACTCACCCACGTCTAGGATGTCGAGGGTGATGACATCAGAGGTAGCCTGGCCCAGCTGGTTGGAGGCCTCCACCCAGATCTCGTAGGGCGTGAAGAGGTGCAAGTCCCGAGTGATGCTGCAGGAGTAAGGCTGCGAATGAGTGTAATCCTCACACTCCTTCTCCTTACCATACCATCTGGAAGGAAAACAGAAAACACTGAAATATCTCTGGACAGCATCAATATGCTAGTTAAGAATTTGTCTGGTCCTTATTTACACTAATGTGACTGCAGTAAGAGATTTCCGTGCAGTTGACACGCCTGTGGGCACTGCATGTCAAGTCATTTCCCTTTTGGTGTTTTTAAATAGCTGATTTAAGTATCAAAAAATGTGAGGAGAGCTTACAATCCCATCTGAAACTCATTTTTGAAAATGTATTGTTCCCAGATGAAAACCCGTTTACCAATTCATCATGAAAAGATGAAGGGCTTCACCGTTTGGCAACCACTGATGTTAGTATTCTTAAAATAAGCTCTGCCAAAGAGATAAAAGGTATTTAAACCTGTTTCCAGCTCCACTTTAGCTTATTTCTGGGGATTTTTGGAGGCATGTCAGTATCACAAAAAATCACGAAATATGTTGATTTTGACTGGGAACTCACCTTGGATATTTAACTCATTTGAACCCAAGGCTGGTTTTGCTTGGTTTTTACTCCCTTCATTTACAGGCCAATGGAACAAATCACAACATGTAGAGACATGTTGTGATTTGCAGAATAAGTTAGGCTTCTCAGAAATACTATTAATTGACCGTTCGCTAATCCTCTCCTCACCCAATTGTCCAATCATAGCTTACCCTGGCTACGGCTTGTCAAACTGTGGTTGGCTCTACGTATAAGCGATGTTTATGGGGCTGTAATAAGAGCGATACTCTGTATACAAATAGTTTGGAGAGCAGTATCTTCCAAGCCTATCCAAAACCAAAACACAAGATGAAAGGTGTAAGGAATTAATTAAACAGGCTATGGTAGCAATCGTTACCATGCCCGCCTAACTAGCTTACTTCTTATAGTACTAACAGAGCATTACTTCAAATTAAGGAGCACATAATTAACTATAATATTTTGTGGGGTTACAGGTACCATTTAAAAAATGTGCATAGTATTTCGCCACTAAGTCCATCCTGGATGCAACTATATCAGAGTTTAGGGTAATGTTAACATCTCTGTCCCACTCTACTGCATTTACACTTCAACCACAGCCAATCTTGTTACCTGATAGCGTTACATTAGCCAAACACATCGATGTTAAATGAGAAAACAAAACTAAGCATGCCAAACAAGATATGTTTCAAAAAAGAACAGTCAAATCTTTCCTTATCACAACAGACTAACTAGCTCTATGCTGCAAGAACAATACCGTTTCTTTATTTGAACTAGCTCCAGCTGATAAAATTTGTGTGGTCAACCTGCCACCATTCCATACCACCTGGCTTAGTGCACAGCCAGTTGGTATGTTAGTGGGTTCTGGGACAGTTACTATAAAAGAAAACATACTTGTCTTATTTCTGTCTGTTGAAATGTTCACTGTGTCAGATTATAGAGTCATACATCTTGCCGTGACTTGACCGAGAGACATGACAGACTACACGTTGTTCATCCCCGGCCAATCATAGCTTTGTCATGTTTGCAGTTGTACGTGGAAGAGTGCTATGAAATCCAACGTTATGGAACATGCTGTGGTCATTCTAGGCAAGAGAAAAATATTCTGAAATGTCTTTTGGTCGGGATGTTGTGAGGCGTCCCAGATGTGGCATTGGTTGTTGTCCACTATTACATACACCACTCAGTATACAACGATACATTTTACGCTCTATGCCCGTTTTAATTCCCGACGCCCTATGTCTGTAGGGTCGGGCTAATTTCTGGCTTATATCGTGTAGTCTAAACGCAGCATTAGTCCTATAAAAAGATACTGATAATGTAAACTACCCAAAAATTTAAATAATTTGTTTTATGGATGTTTATCTTTGATGAAAGCAGTCTCTAGACTTTTAGAAAAAAGTAAGTTGTACTAATTCAAGAAGTTTGTGTGTTATGCCTGTGCACTGGCTCTGATGCCTCTGATTTGATTGAGTTATGACTCTGAGGAGAAGGGGTTTGATTTTCAATACAAATGGCATTAATCATTTTCAGAAGGCTTTTTTTAACTTCAAGAAAATACTGATTTTCAGATACTGTAGTGAGTTGAATGACTGAATTGCATGTAGCTGTATGGTGTATGTGTGTGTATATATACCTGAGTTTGTACTTGAGTGTGTACTGTGTGCTGATGTTAGTCTCTCCTTTCCCTCCCGGCACCCAGCTGCAAGTCAGGTCTTTGGTGTTCCTGGACCAGCAGGTCAGATTGACCGGCTTCTCTGGAGGCACTGGGACAGAAAAAGGGACAGATGGACAGATGGAGGGGGGGATAGAGTGAGAGACATTAGTGAAGAGAGTAGAACAGAGGGTAAGAGAAGGTAGAGTAAAGAAGGTGGAGGGAAGATGTAGAGCCAGTGAGTTTACAAAGTTATCTCCAGCCATTTCTTCAGCCCTTTCCTTCTGAGTGTAATTCACCCACTAGTGATGTTCCTTAGAAATGGGTGTGTTTTTCTTAATTTGTGTGTGTGTGTGTGTGTGTGTGTGTGTGTGTGCGCGCGTGTGCGTGCGTGTCTGATTTGGTCAGACTCGGGATCCCTGCCAACATTCCTCATCTCTCAGAACACAGGGTACTCAACACCAGTGTCGCACAGAGATTAGAATCCCAACTGCATCTCCTTGTGTGTGCGTGCGTGCGTGCCTGAGAAAAATGAAAACACGTGTTTCTTCATGGTTAAGTTTTTGTGACTCCTGAAAAGTTTACCACTAAGTAAAGTGGTTTAGATAATCTGGCTTGTCTTGATAATCTGTCGGCTGTTGATCATCTGACTGCTTGTGTTTCTTGCCTTGTCAGACTATGCTGTAGGGATGCCGCTGTGCTCCCAGACCTCAATTACTTTGCTGAATACAATGTAATCATAACTGATAGAAATTATGGCCAAAACTACAAACAGAAGACCAAAGGTGTAATAAACAGAATTATCATTAAAGGCTTGTTTATTGTGTTCAGGGTACTATTAGGTTATAGTCATTTTGACTAAAATGAAATAGTTTCACTGTGTAAATATGTAGCTGAGGCCAGCAACCAGGGTGAGCTTTGCTTAACACAAAGAGTTAAAAAAGGTAGCCTGTTGCTGTCCAAAGGTGCATGCCAGCACCTCTAAAGCTCACTAATTAACACGATATATCTCAGCTGTTTTGCCTGGAAAACTAACAGTAACAACAGCACTAAAGGAAGTCTTCCAATCATAATGCTAAGCTAAGCTAACCAGCTGTCGTTTGTAACTTCATATTTATCCTACAAACTTGAAAGTGGTATCAGTCTTCTCATCTAACTCTCAGCTAGAAAGCAAATAAACATATTTCCCAAAATGCTAAACTAGTTCTTGAAGGAAAGGACTGCCCCTGGAGGAGACACACATCGTGGCACAACATTAACATAATCACCCAATAAATTTCACTGTAAAATGCTGGCCCTCATAAGTAAAAAACTACAAATATGTGTCTGTGTAAAATGTCCTATGACCCATACCTTATGAGTGATTGAGCGAGTAATGGACCACACAGGTGCTCAAAGCGTCACACAGTGACACACTCATGGAGGCCTCTCACTGGCCTGAAAGCAGGAATACTAAACATAAAATACAGCCACAACTGTGTAGAGACACTTAAACATCTGCCCACTATTTCCTTGCTGTTTCCTTTCCACTCCTCACCTCTTTGTTATACCCTATACCCCTCTCCTTAACATTCACTAAACAGCGGAGAGACTAATGCAGTCATGTTCCACCCAGAGAAATGGCAGCCAAAAACATACTAATAAAATGATAAAATAAAAAATATGGTTCCTCTACATGAGTGAAACTACGCTAAAAAAAGAAACTTCAACTTACTCCCGACGTAGAGGCAGGAGCCAGCCAAGATGTGTCCCTTGTGGTTGTGACAGACCAGGTTGTCACCAGACGTTTGCCTGGAAGCGTTGAGTCCAGCCAGCGTCACACTGAGGTTGGTCGGGCTCAGCACTTTGTACAGGGAGCTGGGCAGCTGTTGACCGTTGAGCGTCCAGAACAGAGAGCTGGCGTGGACACCGAGGTCGGAGTGGACCCAGCAGCTGGCGGTCAGGTTGGACCCCATACGAAGGACAGGGTCCTGGGGGTAGATTACTGCTACATCTGGAGCAGGGCCGGAAGAGATGGATATTAGAGGAAGACAGCTGATGACATGACAATATCTTCAGATGGTCATGTGATTGTTCCAAAGTTTTAGGCTGATTACCAATTAGGGTGTTTTTAGAGCTTGACCCATACTAGGATTTCTCTGCCTCCGTTGCTTCAATTTTGACCATTGTTTTTTATATCTATTTTTTCAAGTTCTTCCCACTTTATGGAAGTGTCACACTAAATCAATAAGACTCCTTTCAGAGACTCAAGAAAAAAAACCTGAGGAGGTTGGATTAGATGTCAGTTACCTCTTTTTCAATATTTAACATCCAAATGATTGAGATAAAATATGTTGCTGGATTGTGCAATTCAGGAGACAAACAGTAAGAACAAAGAGAACATGGATGTCATGGAAAGGATAACGTAAATTTTGTGGTTTGTTGCGTTACTGTAAAAAGCTGTAAGCTGATGCAACAACAGGCAAAAATCCATCTAATAACTTGGGACATGCCAAGAAAATGGTTGTCAATAATGTTAAGTTTTGAGTTAAAACATGATAAGTGTTTCATAAATTTCTTTTTGTTCCCGCTTTATTTCAGCAGCTCTTGCCTGAGTTTCTTTCTCTCAGTTAGCATACAGTAATTGTGTCCTGCCTTTTACTGCTTTTTCTGTGGTCTTAGGTTTTTAATCCTATAAACCAGTTGGTAAACTCTACAGGAAAGTTACTAAATAAATAAATGCTATAATATAAATACTGCTTTTTATCATTTGTTATTGTATTTTACAACGGAATGTTAATACACAACTAAGCAAGTGGCAAAAAATTGCAGTTCTCATTTCTCTGACGGACTTTAAAGTTTAAAGTTTTACAGATATTTTAAATAATATTTGTTTATGTTTTAATTACAGCGTGTGTGATGAATGCTTTGTGTGACTGAATTGCCTTATTGTGATGTTGCATAATGTAATTTGTTCTCACGTATTCTCCTGCAAGGCATCTCAATCTTCTTCAATAACCCAAGTTGAACTAACTAACAAGTGACTAGTGGAAGAGTTTTTGCTCTCACTACAGGTTAACACAGCACCAGAAGGACAAAAACATCTAGAGGCAGAGTTTATTTCTTCAGATTGGAGGATCTTAAAAGAAAAATGCTGCCCACCTAAGTAGACAGCGATATGAAAACATGTAAGCAAGACGATTTCTATGCAGAAATGACTGGGAAGTGAGTGAGGGAGAGCGTCAACATTTTGTCAGACCACTCCAAATCTGCGCCCGGGGCCACATCTATTCAGCTACCAGCCACCTTACTGCTGACATACATTGTGTTGTCCTTGATGGAGGAGCTGCCTTTGAAGAAGTTAATTCAACTGTAACTCCACACCAATATCAATATCATAACCCCAACTAGAGCTTTGACACAGCACTTCTACACATTTATGCACACACATGAATACAAACAAACACATGCACTGAGGGCGGTTGTCTTTGTCACCGGATCCGGCAGACTAAAGGCGGCTGTGATTAGCCAATAATATGCTGATCCATCTGAATAACAATCAGTGTTTATGTGTTCTGGGCGCTGAGGACGGGACATTGCCCTTAAGCGGGGTGTGAAGCCCCTTAACACCCCTACTTCTACAGTTCAAACACTACAGTGATACACAATTACTGCTGTTTATTGTCTCTGCTTAACACGCTGACTGGAGGAAATGGCTTGTAAAATATTAATTGTTTGGAGACGCTGAGGCTGCTTGAAGCACAGCTCTGATCAGGGCCAGGGATTAATCCCGCAATGGAGTTTTTGGGCAAGATGGATTGAGAGCAGAGAGCTATTTTTCAATTTCTGTTTCAGCCAGAGTAGGAGATCTCCTTTGACATTTATGGCAGATTTTAAGTCTTTGGTGACTTGAAAAGACTTTTCTTTATGCTGTCAGCCTTCAAAAGGTACATGACATCCCCTCCTGTTTCTAAAGAACTCATCCAGTTCAAAGAAAGCCTATACTTTCCTCTGTCTGCTCCACAATAGACGTGTAGTACATGTGGAACATTTTGAAGGACCAGTGTGGACGAGCCAAGTGGAAGAAGTCACGCAACATTTAGTGACAACGAGCCGTGCAACAACATCTGAAAAGAGATTGAGGAGATGGCAGCGGATGTTTGTTTTGTTTTTTTGGGGAAAAAAACCCAGATTTTCATTCAAGGTATTTAACAGATGCTCCTATCTGGAGAGAGGAGAGATTATCTTGTCTAACGTCAAGTCAAATTAGGGCAAGCACAGGCAGGAGAAATGGGAGATGTAGGATATGAGAAGTTAATTTCAGTGGAGTGTTTCAGAGTGGAATATTTGGTCTTAAATGATCATAGCCAACATAAATACCTCTTTATACGATAACAGGACATATAAACTCAAACTTTATGGGATTATGAGCTACACAAAAAACGAATTATATGTTGGTGAGAAAATTCCACATTTAAACTATTTTATTTCAGTGGCATCTGTAAACCACAGCACACTAAGTCAAGGGGAGGCACCCTCCATTATTACAGTGAATAAAACAGTAATGACCTATTAGGCCCTATAATAAACAGCGGGCCGCTTATGATCAAGGCCCATTGTCCTCCATAAGCCCCTAAAAGTATACTTTCTTTTATTAGCGCTTTTCAAACTGGATGAATAACAGGAGATCCTCCCTGAGGAGCTGCTCTTTGCCAGTGTGCTCACCATAAAAACTAATCCAGCCACTTAACGGGGAAGCGGACATAACTTTGATTTATTTACGTTACTGTGCATTAAGCTGCCGGTTAACATTCTCCAAAACCCGAGCAAATGATGTCACTGTTTTGTTGCGGTTCGTAAAGCCTCCTTGCCCTCCATGTGTTAAACGAATTATGGCCCGACTTGTTGAAAGTCAGCATCCTGGGGGATGAGTTCTCTCTGCAGGGATCCAACCACTGTACTTCAGCAGGAGCACATCAATAACAGGGGGTGTCAACTGGATAAAGTGGCATTTGTCCTTTTCTAATGTGTGCAGAAATCAACCAGAGTGGACCCAAGCAAGTTAGCCCTTATAAAGCAACTTAGGAGCGAGTCTGCTGAGTTATTTTGTGTTGGAAACATATTTCAAATACAGTATCCCAATGAAGGATAAGTGTTAATCATATGTGTTCCTATGTGGGATTTACATAATGTTATGTTGATTTATTCCTCCTATGGAACCATGTACCCTGTTTGGAACACTTTAGTGAAGATTTTAGTGTTTTTATACTCTTTAATATCACTGTAACATTCCTGTAAAATTATTATCAGGTCTTACATTTTTTAAACAATGTTTGCACTGACTAATATCTTTGCAAAATAGTAATTGTATCCCTATATCACTATAATATTTATATCAGCGCTTGTAGTGTTTCTGTATTGTTTGGCTATACCCTTACAAAAATAGTATGTATCCAACACTAATATCACTGTAATATCCCTATCATTGTCTTATCAATGATTGTAGTTTATCTGTTTGCATGACAAATTTCCTTTTTAAAATGTGATGTACTCTAAAATCAATTGAACTCAAAACTCATACATACCAGAGCAGGACAATGTCACACAGCTGTTTACACTAAGTTCTTTGGGTGACACATGGTTTAAACTGGTCTTAGTACACCAAAAAGGCAGCCTATACCCAAAATCAACCCTTTGCCAGCCAGACCATGGCTTTGCGCATCGATGGACATCTATGTGCAACTTACGTGTGGACAAGGACAGCACGCCGGGAGCGTGCAGCATGAGGAAAATCATGCAGAGATCCAAGACGGCTTTCATTTTCCCCAGCTCGTTTTATTTCTGTCTTGATTCCTCGTCCTCGTGTTGTTGTGATGTCGCCTTTTTTTCGATCCTGGATAGAAATTACGCACGGTGGAAAGAGGAAAAACAGCACGGGCTCAATCTGAATGCTCCGGATTTTATTAACAAGACAACTCTCAGGAGTGAAGGAGCGCGCTAGAAAAAGTGTGACCCGGCAGAAAAAGTCACCCTCTGAGGAGCCATAAGGCAACTCGTCCTCAGTAAAAGGCTAAAAGAGTGAGTATACCGTGTCCTGTTGGCAGTCTTTTCCCCTTCTTAATGCTTCCTGCAGCTTAATCATACACAAGTTCATACTTTTTAAGCCCCTCCTCTCTCTCTCTCTCTCTCTTCCCACACAGCCACCAGTCATTTCCCCCTCTTTCCGTCCTTTCACTGCTCTTTTTTTCCCTCTCCCCCTTCAGTGATGGGCAGGGGAGTCAGAGCCATTCACTTTCACTGAATCACTCTGTCTCTGTTACTTTCCATGCCTCAGGTCTCTGCTTTACAGTGTTTCACCATAGGAGGCTGTTGAGTCACTGAGAGTAACAGGAAAGGTTTCCAAATCCTGAAGTGTCTTTCTTTTTTTTTTTTTTATATCTCCTTGTCTATGGAGAGGGTGAGACAGACCCTCCTTTTCACAAACAACAAACCTCTTTGTATGCACTTGAATCTCTTGAATTGTCAGTTTTGACTCAGACATAAAAATTGTCTTATGATGTGTTGAATAACATCAGAACCAGTAGGCTACTGTAGCCCTAATGTCCTCCTACACAGTTAATTTATCCCTGAGATCCTTAATGTCCAGTAATTGTGTTTGATTAAAATAATCTGGTTGAATCTCTATTGATCCTGAATTTCATATTTCTCCTCAGATTCATGCGAGGAGCGTTGATGCATCTTTAAATAAATGAAATGATCTGTGATTCAACAACTAGTCTCTGAATTGCCTTCTATTTTCTTGCTTGTCTATTTGTGCTACTATATTACTCAATAATTTACAGTTATCTTATATTTGGAACTTTTGGGGTGGGTTTCACAAAGACAGACTGGTCCAACTAATAGTCAGACTTTATACAGGTATCTGCATCTGTCTGTCGCACAAACATGGCTGGCATAGCAACCGCATCGGGCAGCTCGTCTCCCTTCAGTCCAGCAGAAAATGTTTGTAATTCTTCGAAAGAATTCAACAGTTACAAGGACATTTTACTGGGACAATTCAGTGAAAAGCGTAACAATACAATAAAACCTCATAAAATCTCAACGAAGCGCAGACCTGTAGTAGAGCTGAGCTGCTGGGCTCAGTACTTCTGCTAACTTGTCAGTCAGCTCAGGATAGTTTCCTCATTGCTGTATATTTCCAACAGTCTGTCTTTCCCCTCCAATCACTCACTCCACAGCATTGTTAGCAAACCTCAAATAATGAGCCATGTTTTCTTCTTTGGGGCCAGTTGGTGCCACCGGTCAGCAGGTGTCACTGATTGCAACCATGGAAACATGGCTCTTAGTTAAGTTTGCGGGTAGGGTGGCTAACTTTTTCGAATAAGGCAGTCCTCATATTTGTGAAACTGTCTAACTTGCATTAGACCTATATCAGAGCTAAATTAAAACATGAAACATCTTTGTGAAACTGGCGTTTGGACACAGCTCAACAAAAGTTTTTTTAAAGTGGAAACTGGCTGTAGAGACAGTTCATCTGTAATATTTCACACGACCTTCGGGTTTATTCTAAGAGGATCTATGTTAAAGAAAACTACTCATGGTTACTCATTCTTTGCATGGTTGCCTTAACATGAACAATGATGTCACAATGTTGATTGGTTTGCTTCCAGTCCTATTGTTGTGAAAATGCCAGTCACTATTGCAAAATAGACAGTGACTAAGCCCCAGTCAAAACACGAAGCCTCTAAACACGCACAAACTGTCTCACTTGCAGCTGATTTATTTCATATTTATTTAACATGACCTTTCAGTCTAAGTGACTTTCATCAAATATGTAAACAAGAATCCCAGCAGTTCCATTTATATACATAGATGCTGGGCGGATTATCCAGTCAGAGGTCTACAAACAAGCCTTTTCCACAGACATTTTGACTTGTCATAGTAGTAAAAGCGCAGGTGTTACTTATAACTTTACACAAGGCTACGTTCTATTCAAGTGTCTCAGTAAGCCGGGTGACAGTGAGCCGGCTTGCACAACACCAGAACCCTGACACTGAAGCAGCTAAATGGAATTCAGCCATTATTAATTATATTATTTATACATGTTCCTACTGTGACATGTCAGAATGTATTAAGAAACATGCAAACATTTGAACAGGTAATTTGGAGAAAGAGACATCTTCACACTTTCAAGAAGCATGCTAAATGCATGACATGCAGGGCTACTACCACAAAAAACATCACAAATTAAAGCAGAACTACAACAATCAGTGTACCCAAATCAGGTAAGATATGTTTTTAAAGATCAGATAATGTGTCAGCCAATCGGCACTGAGCAACCAATAAAGTGTAAGATAGAATTCTGCAGAATAAGAAGAGGAAGAAGGGCATCTTTTTCTTTTCCACAGAAGAAGCTCTTTTTTCCACAGAGCAAGTTACCTTCGGGCACAGTTTTGGTATCAGTCAGTCAGCATCTCAGTGGGAGTCCTCTGATGCAGGAATCCACCGAGTCCACCATGCAGGGGGAGGAAACGCAATCACATGAGGGTACGCCAGGATTGAGAAATCCACATTTGGGCCCCAGAGAACAGAATACACTCTTTATGTTCTTCACCTAAATGGACATTGTGACGAATGTTTGACTAATGGTGGCCCAAGACGTACATAAATTGGTCCTCCGAGGCCTGGTTGGACCATCAGTGAGTCAGCAGGAGTCAGCCATAATGACCTTTGGATTCTGGCCTACAATGTCCCCCTTTCTCCTGACTCAGAGGGGTCTCTTGTTCGAGGGGCAGTTCCCGCTCGTGCCCTGATGTTACTGTCCAGGAAGTGTGAAAAGAATTCTGTAACACTGTTGTGGCTGTTGTGTCACTTTCCGGTCATTTTGCCCAGACGCCTATTCACAGTGTCATAGTTAGAATTGTTGATTTATGATGGACAGTCCTCACCGTCTTCGCCCCATCAGTGAAAATGTTGTGTCACTGTTATATTTTGTGCTGCTATTGTCTTCTTTTTTTTATGCCATCACACACATACACACATAGAGTATCTTTCACATTTACATACATCAATCTCTGACATGCTTGCACCCACATACTTCCCCTCACACATGCATACAACGACAAAAACATAGATTTCCACAAATGCATGTCATACAGTAATACAAACACACACACTCACACACAGTGTCATTTAAAAAGCACATATTTCAACCAGACTGTCCTTAATACAAAACACCACAGCTAGAGAGCAGAAGTGTTGAGAGGCACTGAAACACAGTAAACATGGTGAAAAAGAGAGAGAGAGTGAGAGTCAGAAAGATCAAGAGAGCAGTTGAATTAGTGGTGAAGTTAGATGAGGAAGGCTGCCCTGTAATAATGCCGGTCATGTGAGGACAAGAGGCTTTACATCTCTTTAGCTGCCACCACAACATGAGAACGCAGGCTCGGTGCAAACCAATGGCACATGTCTGACAGGATGGTTCTCTGTGGAGAGCGGATGAGACGCCATCTCAAATGCTACTTTTTATCCACGCTAGCAGCGTGGCTCTAGGGATGGCAATGTCCTTCTGTCGGTCGGACCACCACTTTGGTCCAGACTGAAATATCTTAACAACTATGGGATAGATTGCCATGAAATTTTGTACAGACATTAATGGTACCCAGATGTTAATTCTTAATGTCTTTGGTGATCCCTGATTTTTCCTTTAACGCCACCATATGGTTGGCTTTAAGTTAAGTGTCAACAACTATGGGATGGATTGCCATGACATTTGGTACACACGTTTCTGTTCCCCTCAGGATGAATTGTAATAATTTAGGTGATTCTACCTGAAAAACAAAGGACATTCTCATTAACCTCAACTGTACTTTGCTTTTGTGCTTTTTAGAAAAAGTTAGCAAGCTAACACACAAAACTAAAATGGTAAATATGGTAAACATTATACCAGCTAAATATCAGTTGTTGTTATCAATGTTAGCATTGTCACTGTGAGTATGTTTGCATGCTGATGTTAGGCACAGCTTTGAGTTAAATGCTACGTACAGCAACACAGAGCCACTAGCATGGCAGTAGACGTGCTACAGCATGCTAGCTGTATGCTAGTGGGATAACGACTAGAGTCTTATACCACATTGAGTAAGCATAAATTTGCTTCTGTATGTTGTTTTTAAAATGATAGCTCACAGGTTTAATTCTGGCCCATGCATCAACATAAGTGTGTTTTAATTATAGAATATATTAATATTTTGAGTAAAATATTGAAAGTAAAGAAAAGCCCACAGAAGAGAAAAGCTGCAGCTCCACGGGATCGACTGCAACAAGTTACATGAGTTGCTGTTTTTCTCTCTTTTGCTTTTCTCTTTCCACATTTTATAGATGTTGTAGTCTTTTAGATTGTTACATTTTTGCCAAACACCCAAAAACAATTTTATCCACTGTCATGTCACTTTTTAATAGCCATGTAGCAACTACGTTTTGGATTAAAAGTCAGTCAATTCAGAGATTGTTGAAGTAGTCTTCACGGCACATTTTAAAAACATGCCAAACACCTGTCTTTGTCTTACAGATGAACTTCCTCTGAGCAACTACAATGTTATAGGAGGTTTTCCTTCACTTGAATAATATTTTAAATTGTGCACCTCTGTTTGTATTGCAACTATAATGATGAATGTATTCCCTACAATATTTGTTATCCTATATCAGTCTTCCATTGTCATCCAGTGTAATCTGTAGAATAATTAGAATTCATAGAAAAATTATTATAAACATAAGAAGTACATCTAATCTAAATCTAACTGGCAAAGTTTGTGCAAGAATATTTCTGTAAGAAAGACATAGTTCTTATATAGTTTTTGAAATAACATGAATTGGATAATAACAAGAAAGAATGAGATTGTTGTGGAGAATATCTTCCAGAAAAGTATTATTATTATAGTAGTAGTTTTTGAAACACATTACTTTCAACATTCCTATTTCCTCTGAGAGAGAGAAAGAAAATGCACCTCTTGAAAATGTCACTCTTTTTAACTAATAGTCAAATGTGGTTTTAAAGAGTAATTATTTTAATTACATATATATATATGTGCTTTTACCCCTGTCACGCATGTCAATACAGCAATTTGTGAAATATTAACACACATACAGT